AGCCCCCCCCCCCCTGCGCGCGTGCGTGGGAGGAGCAGCGCCAGCGTCCGTGGGCAAAGATGCGCCGTCGCCGCCGCCGCGTCTCGGGTGGTAACATGTCAGATTTACAACAAGCGCTAGGTATCCCGTGGCTTGCTGGCAAGAGAGGGAAGTAGACACTACTCCGTACACTACAGCGGTAGGGGAGGGAGGGGGTGAAGAGGAGGAAACGGGAACAAGAAGGAGACACGAAAAATAAAAAAAATAAAAAATTCGCAAGAGATTGCCGTACGTGTAGGGAGATGCCGCAGTATGACAGAATAGTGCGTCTTGAACCCTCGTCGAGCGGAGAGTGTCTACGCCGCAGTAAGGGCCAGAAAAAGAAGAGAAAAAAAAAGAGTTCTGTCTCCCGTCTTGGGAAGATTGGGGGCGCGCGTCTAGTCTACGGATAGTCTAGTTCTAGACGAGAGCTGAACTTCTAAAGAAAAGGCTGTAAAAAAAAAAGTAACAGATTGTCATTTGAAGCCTTGAAAAGCCCTTTGCCACCGCTACCTCGCGATACGAACGATGCAACCGTATTTCGACTCTCGTCGACTCTCGTCGACTCTTCCTACTAGGTACGTGCTAGGCCAAAGGTCTCAGAGTCGTTGAGCAGGTGGCCGGGGAAAATATGGGCATACGGGAAAAGAAAGGAAAGGACAACGTAGACGCGCCGCCGCCCACCCCCCAGATTTAGACTGACGACAGCAGCAGTGGCATACGGATACTGGCAGACTTGATGGTTCCAGCCCATCTACTTCTGGATGCAAGTATGCTTCGCATAATGTGTCCCGTCGCTGCTGCTGGCTCCGTTGATGGCAATCCAGCAGCAGCAGCATGTATCTATCTGTAAGGCAAGGCAATGCAGCGGCCCTTGCCTTTGGAATACCACGTACGGAGACAGTGACAGCTCGCGAGACAGACAGACTCACAGGAAGAGGCCGAAAGAGAGAAAGAGACGACGTTGCGTGATGTCTCTCTACCAGTTTGCCCTTACTTCCACATGTTCTGTCTTCAACGTCGTCTCGTCTATTGTTGGGGAACAATCCCCTTGTTGCATAACTCTTCGGCTTTGTTTCTCAAACTTCTTGTTCTCCCGTGTCCTCCCTTCCCTTCCCTTCCCTTCCCTCTCCCTGCCTTGCCCGCCTCTTGTTTCCTTGTCCACAAGATTTCCTTTGTTCCAACAGAGATTTTTCTGCCCATCGGGGACCACATGGAACGGCTATACTCTACCGTTTTGGGTCATTCGATCGGCTCGCCGCTGCGAGGCCGCTGCGAGAAAAAAAAACTAAACTAAAGTAGCTAAACACACAATGATAACCTCGGCGTAGTTAGACTTCTGACAGCCGCCCTCCTTCCTTGTTGCGTTGTGCCGCGCACGTCTTTTTTGGAGTGAGAGGCCCGGTACGGAGTACGTATCCGAAGAGAAGCGGTAGACGGGCGCCAGTCTAAGACCAAGCAAGCCCATTCCCAGCCATCCATCCACTCTGGTACTCACTTCTCCGCCATCAGTGCGTCTTTTTTCCCTCTCTCTCTCTCTCTCTCTCTCTCTCTCTGTGTGTGTGTGTGTGTGTGTGTGTGTGTGTGTGTGTGTGTTTATGTCTCTTTGCCGGGACGGGAGGGTGTGAGGTATAATGTTGCCGTCCTCTGTATCTACCACTCAACCTCACTCTACCATGATTTAGCTCCCGAGACGAGACATACAACCTTTCTGTCTGGGACACAACCGGTGTGAGCCAGGAAGGTGGCCGAACATACAATAACAATGACAGCACCAAATTCAATTATTGGCGATGTCGGGATGGTTCTAGCCGGCCTCTCTCTTTTTTTCGAGGATACCCACTTTCTCGTCGAGGATCGGGAAGAGAGAGAGGAGACAATTCCTTCCCCCGCTCGCTCGTCACGTCCGCTTGTCACGACCCGGGTCGGCCGCGCGAGGCGAAGCGAAGGCGGATAGGATTTGCCAGGTAGATGTAAACAGACCAGTCTCGACTTGGCCAGGCCAGGAAGGTAGGTAGGTCTTCCGAAAGTCTTGATTTGCAGGGCAAGCAAGGCAAGGCAGAGCAAGCAAGACACCGCAGCAGGCTCTCCCTCACACTCACCCTCACCCTCCCCTCCCACCCCCGGAAAGCGAAAGGGTACGATTGCCTGCATGCGCGTACGGGTATGCATGCTGCTCAAACATGGGGTGGCGGCGGCGAGATCACGGATCACAGAGGAGCCCTGGAAACTCTCGCTCGCTCTTCCTAGTGTAGTGCTGGAGTCCTGGCAGCGGGCGGAGTTTGTATCCGTACGGAGTATTGGCAACCTCGTCCTCGCTCACGGAGGATGCCCCCTCAGGAAACAGAGCAGGTGTCGTGAAATGGCTCTTGCGCACCTGGGCCGCAGCAAGCAGGCGCATGCTGGGCAGATCATGTAACTGTCAGGGACGGGGTCAAGCGAGCGTGACGTGGACCTTTGTCTTTTCTTGCGCGCTCGAGCTGATATCCTCTCTCGCTAGTCTCCGTGTCTTTCCTTGCCGTCCGCTTGTGAGTGGCGCTGTCATGTTGGACATTGGACACCGGATGAATCGTCAAGTCGGGATAGAACTTGGACGCTTGAAACGGTTCGCCCCCTCCTTCATGACCCCTGTGCTCGTCCCTGACGTCCCTGATTGATATCACATGAGAGACGGGCGGGAAAAGGGAGCTTGGGGCTCGGCGGTGCGAGATTGACTTTTTTGATTACCTCGCTACGCAGACTGTCTTGCTTCCTCGTGGGTACCCCGGCATCAGTCACCTCCCTGCAATGGTTGGTATGACCAGGCTGTCTCGTCTCGTCGTGTCGTGACTTGTCTTGTCTTGCCTTTATTCCGACATGACGAGGTCGACCGTTGGAGTTGTCGGTTGTCCGAGGTATGATTACGTATTGGAAAGAGAGCGATGCATCATCGCGCAGCGAAGCGTTGAAGAATGCAGCGCGTATAGCGCGCGCAGAATATGCAAGCCTCGGCGTCCGTCTTTGCGACTTCAGCTTTCTTTTCCCGGGGAACATTTGCGACTTGTCGTCCTCGTCTTGTCATTTCTCAGAGTTTTCACTAAATGGCATGTTGGTGGTTTGATGCAGGAGAGACGGCAGGCTAGGCCATGCCGCCGTGGCAGGGCCCGGCGCATCGCATCGATGCTCCCTCACCTCGCTCCAGCCCTGTCCCGCCCGCCCAAGGCTAGCCGCGAAACACGACGGCGGGAAGAGAGGAGGCTCGGAAAGTAGGTTGTGAGGTAAGGTAGTGGTATCCGCAGTGCTCTGCGCAGCGGTGCAGCGGGCACCGTGCATGAACTGCTGGTACGGCATGATAAGATGGGTGTGTTATACATGTGACGGAGCACCGCCTGGCTTCTCTTTTCTTCGTCTTTCCAAGGGTTGACCTGGACAACGTCGGGAGAGGACGAGGAAAGAAAAGGTTAGCGGGCCTGGAAGCTGCATTCACTTGGTGTCGATTGGCAAATGCAGGCGCATGTGCGTGCAGTGGCCTCATGGTAGAGGCATAGATGGCAGACATGGGAGTCCCCGAAGCTGGAGAATGTGCCATGCCAGGTCCGGGGCGCATGAGACGGCCCTTTCGTTTGGTGTTTCCCGCCTCCCGCCGCGCGGCAGGTTTGGCGATGCAAGTCAATTCGAGACCCGAAGCTAGGTGCACCTTTCTTCCAGGAAGCTTGGATACCAAGCTTTTTTTTTTCTCTTTTGCCTTGTCGTTTCTTGTCACCTCTCTGGTCCCCTCGCCGGATGTGGGAGTATGGGGAGCTACGGCGCAAATATGAAGCAGCCAATATCGGCTGTGCAAGCTTTTTTTCCCGTTTAAGGTGCAACCTTCGGCCGATGACTGGTCGTGATGTGCATGACTGGCGTCTGTGGAGGATGCTCTGCCACTACGAACAATGTCCTAGGCCGATTGGATGGCTTTATTTTTCGCCGCACCAAGGGGCCCCGGTGATATGGTTTGGCGATCCAAAGGGTGGAAGTCTGATGTCGTCTCTTTTCGGTGTATGTACCCAATACGTCGTCCATATAATCATCAATATCATTTCCACAAGGGATTAGGAGTAGCCTTCTGTTGAGCCAGATGTTGAGGGGGTGTGAAGTGAGCGGCATCCGGGTCAGAGACGTCGTCGATGAGAATCTACCGACGACAGCAGATTCGTAGTTGTGAAGCAGAACAAAACGGACCAGAATTGGTTTTTCGCACTCGCATCTGCCGAGCCCAGACCTCGATATGGTCCCCTGACTGAGCGTTCCGAATGCCGTCAAGCAGTGGCGCCGATGAGTGATTGGGCCTCTGCAGCTCGTCATTCCAAGATCGAGCAAGGTATGACCTTCTTCACAGCCTCTTTTCCACACTGAACGTCCCGATTTCAGCTCCATGGGCTCGTGGGTAACCTCGTGGGTGAAGGAAACATGTCGCTTGTTTTGGGGGGGAGGGTGAAGAGCAAAAGGGTGTGCCTATGTGTGTCTGATCCGGTGTTTAGGCCTGATGTCGGTACCTGCAGGAGATTGAGAGGTTGAAGGTGAGGTGAAAGGTCCCCTGAGGTTCGAAGCGTTCGGTATTTTTGCAACAAGAAGGTTCCAAGGGGACTCTGACGTGCACATGCATTCTTTGGGATTTGAGGAATGACGGGATTCGAGTTGGGGAAACATCGGTGCGCCGACGCTGCTGCAGCTCCTGCATTTGCCATGATGGCAGGCGAAGCAGTTGGCACTGGCAGCTCGGTCCAGGAACGGCACTTGACTTAGCTTCGCCTTACTCGAGAAGCTTTGGCCGGATATCTCTGTCTCTACACCTTCCCGTCATGTAGTGTGATGAGATGTGATGTAAGTTTAGGTGCAGGTGAGAGGTGACCTGAGGTGAGAACCCAAGGTGACCCAGGTGAGTGTTCGGTAGCTCTCGGTGAGACAAGGTCATGTGACCCCGCGACCGATACGTGCCTGGATCGACCTTGGGTGTAAATGCGCTTGGGACTCTCTAGCCTGCGGCGCCGCGTGATTCGCGTATCGTTGACGAAAGAAATAGCCCCTTTGTTTGCTCGTGGAGACACTAGAGGCAAAATCCAGCATTATGATCCAACGTTCCTACCGTGTGGACCTGAACGACATTGCACGCTCAACGCCCATGTGCCTTGCATTGCAGCGCCGTTTACACCTCGCATCCTAGCAAAGCAAGAAGGGGGGAGAGGCGGAAAAAAAAAGAAACATCATTGCACCAAAATAAATAGGTGTCTCTAACCCGGGATGCCTTCGCCGGAGAAGACACCGATTCCGCCAGCCGCAAAGCCGCGGTTCAGCAACAAATTCGATCCATACAACTCAAGCGCCACCGGTCATCAACGCCCGGATAACACCCCGGGCACAGGATGGCGAACCAGCCGCGCTCTCAAGCTCTCGGAGCAGTTCGCAGGCGGTCACTCTGGCGGCGCTCGTATGAGTGACACGTACGGCGCCGGGAGCGAGGACTTTGACGAAGAGCTGAAGATGGTGGTGCCCAAGAACGTCAAGGCGAGGGCGAAGATGAGCGTGGCGGACATGTTGGCGCGGCCCGGGCTGATGAGGAGCGGCTCTTCCGTCTCCGAGACCGGCTCCGCGACATCTGGCACGTCTGCTGCCGCCTCGGGTGGTGGGAATGTGAAGAGCGAAGAGGAGGTCATGGAAGCTCGGCGGAGGGAGGACAAGGATGCTGAGGCAAAGAGTGCGGCTGTCAGGGGCTTGTTCGAGGGCGTCACGGTGTACATCAACGGGAGCACGCATCCCATCATCTCGGATCACCGACTCAAGCACGTCTTGGTCGAGAACGGTGCGCGCATGTCTATACATCTCGGTCGGAGGCAGGTTACGCATGTCATTGTCGGGAGACCGGCGGGCGTAGGCGCTGGAGCCGGCGGAGGATTTGCGGGCGGCAAACTTGAAAAGGAGATTCGCAGGATCGGCGGGTCTGCCGTCAAGTATGTTGGCGTTGAATGGTTGGTTCTTTCTCCAGTCCCCCTATCCCGTGTTCTTTACGAATTGGCGGATGCTAATACTCCCCGCAGGGTCATGGAGAGCCTCAAGGCGGGAAGCCGATTGCCCGAGGCACGCTTCGCTCCCCGGAAAGTTGCAAGAGAGGGTCAACGAAGTGTCTATGGCATGTACGGGAAGCAGGCCTCCAAGGAATCCCCTACTGGACCAGGAAGTTGAGGCGGTTTTTTCTTAGAGTGTTGGTGACGTGGGCGGACGTGGTCGGTTTTCAAATGTTGTAATGATAGGTCACTTGCATTGCCTGGGATAGGATCAGAGCTGGGGACACAACGATACCAGATATACATCGGGGGGCATGCTGTGATTCGGCATACGAGGCGTTGGTTGGGAACTCCTCTGTTTGACTGTGTTCCACTTAGAACTTCACAATTACCAATATAATTTCGCTCGTTAAAATCTGATCCATGCCTGCTACGTCCTGTCATCCCACTCGACCCTCTGTATATGATGTCCCGCGTCTTCCATTCCAATAGACCCCGGATCACATTTTCCGCAGAGCCTACCCCCTCGACGGGAATGAGAAACGGCCGCTCAGCTTCGAACACTGTTACACGTCTGACGGCCCGTAAGCAAACATGGTACGACGGCCGCGACTCGGTACGGGTATCAGGTTGTCCTTCGAGCCTCGTCTTCCCGTCATGGGAGCATATAATCTTCGCAAGGCAATGGGCGTGGAGGAGGGACCTGTTCTTTCTTTTGTAGCACAAGCTGACCGTGACGAGGCCTAGGGCGGAAGGATGTGACCGAGTAGGTCATGAATACGGACCGGCAGGCTCTCGACTTTTGTCGTACCATCCATCCATCCTGCGGGCGCGTGTCGCTTTACACCGACGGCGCCAGGTCGCACGATGGTCGTCGTCATCGGTGGCAATCGCCTCGGGCGAGAGATCGTGGGCGGCCTACGTTTTCTTGGATCAGTTAGACGAGCCCAGGCCATGAAGCCTGTCTGTAGGTCATTTTCTGATGTTTAGTTCCAATGACCCCAGTTACTCGCTAGCTACCAAACAAGGCGAAGCCTTGTCGACGTCGTTGGGTTAAATATGCGGATGGCTATGAGGTCTATGACAATAATAGACTTCGACCACGACGAGAAATTGAAGCCTCGAGGTGCCATGCGGCTGAGTAGCGCAGCCTTTAAGGGCAAGACCCGAAATTCCCGTATCTCAGTGCCCGGTATTGGATATTCAACCAAGAATGGATAGTCCCGTTTCCGCGTCTTTATTCGAATGAGGTTAAAACCATGCCATCACGACATTGCCTCTTTGTAGTACGTAGAAACTCTCGGTTCCCAAGATCTTGATGGCTTGTCTTTGCCTGTGAAATGGACAGTTGTATCGAATGAGAGATCGTAGAGGAGTAACTTCCTACTCTACTGGTTAAGAAGGTAAACATCAAGACTAGGCCAACTGCTATTCTGGTAAATCGGCAACTTTTTCGGGGGTATGAAACTCGTGAATGTCTATATTTGATATACGATATGAGTGAGCGCAGTTTAGATCCATCAGCGGCTTGATTCGTTAACGGAAACATGCCCATCATAATGTAAAGGCATTTAGAAACATTACCCATGGGGTAGCTCCAGTTCACGTCTACCGGCATTGGAGGACACAGCGTCTCTCTGTTCCATCATCGAGCCCTCTGGAATCATGTGATGGATTCTAATTTAACTTTCTACTGCTCTCATGATACCAATCGCAACATGCATGGTCAGATTGCAGAGTGTCTTGTACAGAGCATTTACTTGCTGTACATTGTTTTCTCGACACATACGTACATAGAAAAACTCGCACTTTGCGGATATCTCTGTACGTAATTACCCTTCATCAGTGTATAATGGCATGTGTTGTGTAGCATGTCTAGATGTGTGATAATCAACTCTAGAAAGCGCATGAATTGACAAAGGTACGTGTAAATTAGGCTCTTCCATCATGCGCTATAAATCTAAACATCTACAACTTCGCTCTAGCCTCCGTGCTCTTATGTCCATCCCCCCTCACCTCCCAATACTCCCTCACCTTCTCCCTCGCAACAACCACCGCGCCCGCATCCTCGACCGTACTCGGCACCTGCACCTCCTTTTCAAACTCCTGGTGCACTGCGTTCTCCAACAGCTCCCTCAGGACGCGCCGCAGCGTCTTACCACTGCGCGTCTTGGGAATCATCCCCTTCCCCTGTATGAGCCCGCCTAGCGTGGCAATGGCGCCGACCTGAGACCGCACGAGCGCGTTGATCTCGTCGGCGAGCTTCGCGTCGGGCACCGCAGAGATCGGGTGCTCGGGCGTCGAGAGCGTGATGAAGGCGAAGGGGAGCTGGCCCTTGAGAGCATCTGGGATGCCCACCACGCAGGCTTCTGCGACGAGGGGGTGGGATGTGATGGCTTGTTCGAGGCCGCCTGTTTTCTCGTTGTCAGCTTAGGGGTTTTCTGCTTGTACGGAGAAAACAAAAAGGATAAGAATCCTACTTACCACTCGACAGACGATGGGCGCTGACGTTGAGTACGTCGTCGTTGCGGGACATGACGTTGACGTAACCCTCGACGTCAATATAGCCCGCATCCCCCGTATCCAGCCACTTCCCGTCGAAACGCTTGAGATAGCCTTTGTAAAACCGCTCTTCATCTTGCCACAGTGTTCTGAAAGCCGTCGGGGCAAGTGGCAACCCGAGGACGATGTTTCCCATGGTGCCCCTCGGAAGTTCCTTGCCGTTATCGTCTACGATGCGGACATCGAAGCCAGGCATGGCCTTTCCGGCGCTGCCCGGCTTGATCCTGGGAGGAGGATGACCGCGAACATCCGTACCCCGGTCTTTCCCGGCATGAGGCACGAGAGCCCGTCCTGTGATGGGCGACCCGGCTTCCGTCGACCACCAGTTGTCCACGACGTGGGCATCGACTGCGCCGTAGGTCTCGAGGAGCTCCTGGTACATGGTGATGATTGCCGGTTCGGACCGCTCACCCGCCAAGAAGAGCCCCTTGAGCGTCCGGAGGCCGCCGCGCTCTCCAATCTGCTTGAAGAGCTTGTTCTCGGGGTCGTCGCGCTTGATGGCGCGGAGAGCCGTCGGTGCCGTGAACATGGTGTTGACCTTGTACTCTTCCACGATGCGCCAAAAGGCTGAAGCGTCTGGTGTGCCGACGGGTTTGCCCTCGTAGAGAACGGTGGCGGCGCCAGTGAAAAGGGGGGCATATGCGATGTAACTGTGCCCTACGACCTACACCCCTCGATGTTAGAATCTGAACTGGCCATGGGAGCTTGATAGAACGTACCCATCCAATATCTGACGCTGTGAACGAAACACATCCCGGACCATGAATGTTGAACAGGTAACTGATGGAAAGATGCAGCCCCACAGCGTGCCCAGCAGCATCCCTCAACACGCCCTTCGGAGATCCCGTCGTACCAGACGTGTGGATGATATAGATCGGATCCGTTGACTTAACGGGCACGCACTCGGCCCTGACGCCCCTCGCACGACAGCTCTTCACGATGCTCTGCCAATTCCTCTCGCCGTCGTTCCTCTTAATGGGATTCCACCGGATCTGCTCGCGCTGCCATACGACCACCTTTTCGGGCTTGTGCTTGGAAATCTGGCAGGCCTCCTCGACGAGCGGTTTATATGGCATTGCCGGCTTATTACCGTCGATGCCACACGACGCCGTCAAGATGGCCACGGGCTGAGAGGCCTCTATCCGCTGGGCGAGGGCGGCTGGTGCAAATCCGCCAAACACAACGGCGTGAATTGCACCTAGGCGACTGACGGCGAGTATGCCTATTAATGCCGCCGGGATCATGGGCACTAATTATAGTGTAAGCTTTGGATCGGAAACACTTGCTATCCGACAAATGGAGTAATGCTTACTATAAACCAAAACGACGTCGCCCCTTTTCACTCCTTCTTCCCTCAGCGCCCCGGCAAAGACCTCGACCTCGTCGAGTAGCTGCTTGTACGTGAGGGTCTGCTTGGTATTTGTGACGGGACTGTCGTAGTATATTGCCGGAGCGTCACCCCTGCCATCGTGAACGTGGCGGTCTACGCAGTTGAAGCAGGTCGAAATCTCACCGTCCGGGAACCACTCCCAAGAGTCGTGGGTGACGCCGCTCTTGAGCGTCTTCTTAGTGACTTTCAGTGTTGAAGAGGGCTTCTTGTGCCAGTGCAGGTGTTCGGCCTGGTGAGCCCAGAAGGATTCTGGGTCTTCGAGGGAATGACGCAAGACTTCGTCTTGTGGGTGTAAGTTATCCATAGTTACAGTAGCTTGAGTGTTTGCGTTGCTGGGTGGGTGGTAATTGTGTTTAGTCGGGGAATGAGATGAAGTGTATGGAGTATTGGTGAGACCACGGCAAAAGATGACAATGGTTCAAAATTGCAGTAAACTCATCGAGACATTACCTTTGGGATTATAGGAGTTCTCTCGGCTACGGCTCTCTCTCTCAAACAGTCGGGCGGCTGGAAGTTTGGAGGTTGGGACGGTGTTGAAATACGAGACAGCTCTACCCTTGCAGCAGTAGCTGACGTTCCCTCTCTCCCCTTGGACCTTGGTGCGCTGGCTGGCTCGACCTGGGGCAGCCGTTGAGGAGGGGGGCTTCCCCGCATTCCGTTGACCCGGGGGTAAGGGGACCGACCGCCATTGCCGACCACGCCGACATCGCCAACCGATCTTGGCTTCTTCCATCGACCGGGGACCCCACGGGGTTTGATCTGTGTCAGATCGCTTGATTCCGCCTGCATCTTGCTGTATTTTCCTATTCTTTGGTAATTGAGCAAGTGATTGTCTGGAACGATTGTCGCCCGGAGTGATGAAATTAGTTTACTACACACACGGACTCAAGGAAGCCCTCACTATCGACGAAGAAAAAGGTATCAATTGACATTAATGAATATTGTCTTCTTGAGTAGTTCCGCCCATCCCTCATCTAGTCTCGCTATGCAACAGGTGAATTTTCTATAAGTGAGGGGCTGCTTCATCAATTCTCCTAGATGGTCTTGAAGGTGAAGTGACTGAGACTACGGATATTTCCCCAGAGATGGCGATGGTCCCACCCGGCTCCCCGCAAGACCCATCCGCCCCGTAGACTTGCCGCCGGCGAGCTCTGTCTGCGCAATCAAGTTTGCCCAATTGTAAAATCTCGAAAGTAGCGACTGTGAATCAGAACAGCCCAAGGATTTGCGGGATTGCAGCAACCCAACTACAGAAGCAGTGTCATTTCAGCAACGCGCTTTTACCCGGTTCCTAATCATCTACCTAAGAAATGGAAAGGAAAGGAGTAAAGAGCTGAAGCTTTCGTAGCTACTCGTATCGTGACAGAGCGTGACTAGACAAGCCGACGCTCTCCAAAGCCCTCACCTAACCACCTTAGTACACTATTGAAACTTTTGAAAGACCAACTCGCTCGCTCCGAAAAAGTCGTCCGGGTAGGCAGTTGCCCGCGAGCCTTAAAAGTAAAGCTCTCGACTTACTTCTAGATCGTAGAGAGCGGGAACCCACCGCGCGCAGAACATTCGAGCCACCGCTTCAAACGGCACGGCATCAACAACCGCTCCGGTCCAGCCGGCTTCCACCGGGGTCAACGAGTTCCACGCCCACTACACAAAGATCCGGGAAGGCCATCCGCAAGGTCGAAGGAAAAATCGCTCATGCTTCGTACCTTACAGGGAGGAAGTGAACAACGGTGGAAACGAAACCGAAAGGCCCAGCCCTTAGAGATGGGTTGCCCATCCACCCTATGAAGACTTCCTCCCCAGCGCCAAGCTTCAGTGACAAACTGACAGCTACAAATGACCTTATGCCTCATTTTTCACTCCGAAGAATCCTGGACGACAATCCGTTGCTCTAATGCATTCGTGGAAATTCGATTGATGTTGATCGGCGCAGCGCGGCCCAGATGGGTTGTTAATTTCGCTTACGTCCGTGTTAGTATCCACGGTGTTATGCATATATCCGAGGTTATTGGCAGTTTCATAGAGTGATATTGCTATATAGATATATGCGTATAGGGAACATTTCCTGAAAACCTCTCTCTGCTTTTTCCAACTCGAGTCGGTTTTCACATTCCTCAAGTCTTCACAATGCTTTTGTACTTCATAGATACGCCCCATCCACGTTCCAAACCCTTTCTTTTCAGCTCACCGTTCTGTTCATTGTGATCTCATGTGGTACAGCTGAACCATGCGCCTGGAATCACCTACCAGCTGCACTAGGTACGAATACTAACGTTATGGTTCCATTTCCAGCTCAACAGCAAGTGCCCAGCGAAAAAAAGACCCACACCTCCATCACAGCCAAAGCACCGCTCGTCCCGTCCATTCCGGCGTACCTTTCACCGCTGCAGTAGCGCCTAAACGCTGCAAGACGAAGGTACAGCGCAGCGCCACGCCTGCCCCCCTCCGGACCCCCTATTTCCCAGAAGGTTCTTCTCCACGGTAAGGTAAACAACACAAAAACCACCAAACAAAACAACCTTAATCGAATCTGGATGCAACGACAGAACAGTATGTCAGCCCCGAACGGCGGTCTGTCAGGCGGGCTGCAGCTCTCAGCTCCTCCTCAGAAACTCTCACTACCAAGTGGTAATTGCGTTGCCCCCGCCTCTTGGCTGGCTGGCATGCCGCGTCTCCCCCAATAGAGGAATGTTCCTCGTATGCGCTTTGGGCACAAGGAATGCGGCACGGCTGCGGCGTAAAACGAGAAGAAAAAAAAAGGAGACGACGCCCCGAGCAGAGGCGCCCAGGACATTGGTGTGCTAGGCATGCGGGACTGCGCCTTCTTTCCAAGACACACCTCAAGAATCCTCCTCAAGCAGGCGAGCTTTCAAAGATGAATGGCCTTGTCCAACGTTAGCGAAATGAGGCCGATGTGTTCTCTCTCTCACCGGAATCCGTATCCGTCAAACCTCGGGAGTCGAGACTCGCCATCAAGCTCCGCGCTATTGCTAGACTATTCCATTCCGGCGTCGTTTCCATGTCTTGGACCTATTTTCGTCCTTTGTAACCGGTTTTTTTTTTTTTTTTTTTTTTTTTTTTTGCAATGTGCAAAGAAAAGACTCAGACTCACCGAGCCTCTTACAATGTGACAATGCTTTTGCACTTGGTGTCCCGTCCATAATGGTCCCGAGGCATGGCCTGAGAATTGTCGGGAGTGTGTATTCATAGATGAATCTTGCACCAAAATCGTAGTATTCCCAGGGGCAAGTGGGCAATGCCTTGGGAAATTCTCCGACGTAATAAACAAATTGCATACAGATACATTGTTTTTCATTTGCTTGACGTCATGACCGAGTGACCGGCTAAGACTTGTACATTCGAATGGTATGATTTTGATATATACGACTACTGCCAGTCTCACGCTCACATACGTTACATGGCAATTGGCTTTGGCAGTAGGGCGTAATGCACACAAAGGCGAGTTTTCAGTCTTTAGACGAGAGGAGAATATGATGTGAATTGGGTCAAACAGGTTACTCTGCAGCGAGTAATGAGACAGCAAAAGATAACCTATCATGGTCGCATTATATTCCCATTTTCTAAGCCTCTCGAAAATGCAGAAAGAGGATGGTATGTACCGCACACACACGGATATAATCCTCAATTGGCGTTTTGACGGGAATACCGAGCCATAAAAAAACCGTGATTGGGCGAAGGTTTGTTTGCAAAGCAAGTACAAGAAGTTGCAGTATTGACAGGTGTGGTTTTACTGCATGGCTTGGACGTTCCATCGTAGTAAACTCCATGGCGCCATGCAGGCAAGAAAATGTACCGGGTATTCTGTGGGCGTGTCGTTTCCTTCTCCGTCGTCTTGGGGACCATTCCCAAACTCTCCTATCCAAGGAGACTCCCAAAACTCCCATCCATAAAAATTCCCATCCAGTCGATTACTTGTCGGATGGGTCACAACCGCGCTCCAGTCATTAAGTGTCGTAGGCTCCCCACGAAAATTAAGATATTATCGTACGTCAAAGATCGTAGGGGGAGACGTGGATGGCGAGACGTGGATATTGATTTAGAGGACGAAAGCAGCGAATCCGAGGACACCGGCCAGACCGGCTCCAGAAAGGGCAGCGGCCTTGCCAGCACCGGCGGTAGGGACCGAGACGGGCTTGGTAGGGGTGATGGCAGCGGTGCCGGCGACGGTGGTCTTGCTGAGAGCGGGGGTGGCGACGGGGAGAGTGCCGTTCTTGGTGGGGGCGGCGCAGTTCTCGCACTTGACGATGGAGGAGGTGATGACGGGCTTGGTGACAGTGCAAGGGCAGTCAGTGATGGTCAGGGTGGTGGCCTGGAACGTATTAGCTTGGTGCTGAGATCGACGGATTTTTAGAGGTGAAAGGTCGGGGCATCTCCGAGTCTCGGGAGGCTGATGATAGCCGGCGCTTGGCCAACGGCCCCTCGAAACACGTTGAGCTCCTCCCGTCCACCTCTCGAATTCGACGTACCGTGGTGATGGTGTAGGTCTTGTCAGCGTGGGTGATGACAGTGGGACCAGGGCAGTAGGTGGTGTAGGCAGAGACGACCTCAGTGACGTAGGTGACGTTCTTGTGGGCCATGGCGCCGGCGGCGGCGAGGACAAGGGCGGCAGCGGAGAACTTCATTTTGACGGTTGTTTTGTGAGGAGGAGAACTTGGTATTAAGACTCGAAAGAGTTGTAGTTGCGAGTTGAGGATTAGGTGGTTGGGTTAACGAGTGAAAGCGACTAAAAAGTCTGGGTCGGTACTGAATGAGTGAGTGTGGGTGAGGAGGGAAAGGGAAACGGGAGATGGGATGGCCTGGAGGAAATGAACTTATATACAGAGATGGGCGCAACACGACATGGGAACTGGGTGGTGGACACTGACTGGGCTCTCTACCTTAGTGTCGACTGTGGATTGTGAGAGTGCCTGTGCTACCATGGGGCCCTGCCTTGCGGTAAGGTAATGGGATGGGTCAGGGACGGTACCTTCGCCCGGTCATGAAGGTGGAGCATCGCATCTCCTGGTCCTGGAGATGAGAAGAGGAGCTGGACTTGGAGGGCGAAAGAGAGCACACGCCGTCTTTTCCCCGGTCCCCTGCTAAGATGGGCGCTATCCATGGCTGAACAGGGGGGCTGGTTCCTGTTCCCTTTTGCTATTCACTGACCAGCTTATTTCACTTAGGACGAATCAGAAGTGGGCTAGACGAACGGGTTCTTGGTAACGAGGGGAGTAAACACGAAGAAAATACCATTGTGGATGATTTGTGTGGACGGACGGGAAAGGGGGTAGACCAGGTGTGTGTGTGTGTGCGCTCGGGGGGGTTTGCGTTTCCTACGTTGTTGCTGGTGGCTTTGGCTGTACAGAATTGGTCAGGCAGACCAAGTAGCTACTCCCCGTTGGCCGAGGGGGCGGGAAAAAGTATTGACAAGTTGAGTGGTGTGGTTGCGCAGAGAAGACGGGAAAAGCAAAAGAGAAGTCGAAAGGACTGGGCTAGAAGTTGACTCTTGGAGCGGTACGTACCCTCGAAAATGGGATGAAATCAAAGGGGGGTGTGAAAGAGGATGGTAAGAATATGCACACAAAGGGGAAAGACCTTGGAGCGCGGGAATTGAGGTGTGGGAATCATTTACCTTTTGCTCCACTTGGACCCAAACCACCACTAAGAATCGGGCATTATTGGGTGTAGCAAGATAGAGTACGAATAGAGCCACGAGGTGATTAACCAGCAAGCGCTTGCTTTGCCCGAACAGATCGTTCGTTGATCGTCTGTGTTTTGCTTCACACTGTTACTCGGAAGCACCCTTCGAAGACTCCCTGCGTGGGCGTCAGGCCTTGATTCTGTCGCGACGCTTTGGATCGCTCCGAATCTGCAAGGAGTTCGGACGAGCGAGATGAGATGACTCGAGTCCGCCTCAAGAAACAGAGTCAAGGACTCAAGGTAAGCTTGAGTAGTTTCAGCGGGTCGGTCAACCGCCAACCAGCAGCTGGGCAAGGCACAAATATCCGTACACATGATATCGCTCCTCCTGTCATGCTGGCAGATCCAATGACACTGGCCAACCGTTTCTGGGCTGAGATGCTTGCTCAAAGGCGGGGAGGGAGTCTTTGCTTGATGTGCAGCCATGATCTGAAATTCCAGGCTGCCCTCCATCGGCCATCGTTGCCAGTGACAGTCGTATCTTTCATTTGATTGTAAGACGCTCTATCAGGCCCCTGTCGTATCTCCGCATTAGTTGAGCGAACGCGACATGCATTCAGACGTGTCTGCCAACTCACCTGTGGCCGCGGCAGCCGGTGCTGACGGCTGACTGACCAGCGTCAAGTACTGCGTATACGTAGTGTGCGAGTCAAGTCAGGATTCAGGAACAAAACCTTGCGCTAATGCAGGTACCATGCAACGTCCAAGTAGTTGCCAAAGCCCGCCTCGGGTGCGGAGACCGGTTGACTGTTCCAGACTCCCAGCTGACGGCCTGATCCTACAGCGACAAAAATGCAGTAGCCGAAACTAACATGAGAGTCTAGCAACGAATCTCCATCCATAGAACATCTTTCGGGGCGGCTGACGGGGCCCTCTCGAAAGCTGTGGCTTGCTTGCGTCTTTTCCGATGGACCAACATGCTTAAGACTGCCGCGAGCCTGTCCAACATTGGTTTCGCGACCCATTTGGTTGTTCTCAGGCGGGCAGCAAGACACGAGCTTTGTCTGTTCACACGGCGTGAAACCTTCGATGAGACAATCGTCTACACTGCACGGAGGTGTTCTCGTAGGTAATGGCTGGCCTCGACGTTGAGGCAGGGTTGCCAGCTTCGCCCCCATGCCCTGCAGCGTACGAGGGAACGGAGAGATGTATTCGGGGGTTCGCTATCGTTTCCGTACCCCGCACGAAGTACAGCTGCCGTTGTCATGGTTTTGCAGGAGCTGTGATAGGTGGTATGAAGAGAGGGGAGGGGAGATCAAACTGGTGATGCTGCGACTACCTAGGACAATGAGGAGGGAAAAGTTAGGGCGGCGACGGATTAATCTCGGGGGGAACTGGGCGTTCATGATGTCTGATTGGCCTACTTGATAGAAAACCCATAATTAGATCGCCTGTTTGGGCAAGAGAAGCTGGCTGCTATTGCCAGCCTCAATTCCTCGAGATGGAACTCCGTATCTGTACTCCGTACTCCGTACCTCCGTGCCTTCCTTTTCTTGGGGAATCGTGGAAGGCGTTCGGGCCCTGCGGGTTCCAACTTCGACCTCACCTGCCAAGTGGGCAGTTGCGAACCGGGAAAACATGCCGCAACCGACTCAGGGTCATGAGCTCGAATTGAATGCCAAATCTGGCAATGACGAGACATCAGAATCTAAAAATGTGTTCCTTCTTTCTTTTGCGCCAATTCTCCTTTGCTGCCCGTCATGCATTTCTTCTTAGCATATGTACCTCAGGTAGCTTCTTGCCCGTTCTAGTCAGTCGCCACTTGTCAGTGATGCATGATACGGATATCCTTCTCTCCTGACCGCCGAGGAAACAAATCGCAGGAATGTTTTTTCCAGGAATCCCCAACAACTACCTTCCCGACGCCGTTGAGAACACCGGACGGATCGCCCGTCGGATGAAGGCTCCATTTTTAGCCACAGTTCGTCTGAGAGTCGCGCTCTCGGACTCAAACACTGGACGATGACCAACATCTCGAAACATTGGATGGCGAACCCTCAGATCCGTCTGCCCTGAAGCAAAGAGAAACTTCAGGTCTCCCATCTAAATCCAACGAGGTCAGTGTCATGCTGGCTCCCTTCGCAATACTGGGTATTCGAAGACGTGCCAGGGCAAGACAGGGTTCCTCCACGTTTCCCGCACATGTCAGACTCTCACGGGTGCAGGGGACATTTGAGAATCGAGAGGTCACACTCACACCTCAGAGGGTCTCCAGGGTCCCAGCACCCTCTGGCCTCCGTTGCGACAGGTCCTCCCCCCCAAAACACCAGTGTTCGCCGTTTGAGTTAAAGTCTTTGCGCACAGCGGAGACATGCTATGTCAATCGCTCGGAGAAAATCAACGTTGATCATTGTCTGTCACCGTATCGAGATCCTGCCACGTTGTAACTGCGGCCAACTTCTCCACGGACCCCGAACGACGTCAATAAGTTATATTTATCTGAATGGATACATCGCTTTTCGGAAAGACGAGAGGTACCTGACCTCAACAGCATCCGCATGCATCAGATAGAGCCCCGTCATGAAAGAGTGACATGGCAAATGTCTTTCTGCAGCTTCATCTCACTCTTCTTTTCGTATATATGAACCTCCGGTTGGGAGGGGAATACCACGAATCCACTCCGAGATTCCATATAATGGCATCCATTCTATCATCAACAGATGTCTCCGCCAGCCGTGGACCAAAGTTCTGACCACTGACGAGGAGCTCATCTGGCTCGTTTCGAGATGTCACCACCTAACTCGCCTGACTTGTTCGTGGCAGCGACTTTACGATCAACCCCTCGTTCGATTCAGCGGGATCTTGGGTCTGTATCCGTACCACTACCTCCCAGCACAGTTTAGCGAGCTTGATCGTTCTGGTCTAGACGGGCACTTTCACCTCCAACGCTATAAATTGCTTAGCGGGTCTACATGTTCCTGGCCGCCTGCGGCCCACGGGTTGCGGTGGTGTGGTGGCCTGTGCAGCGACCTGGCCGGCCACTTAGGCCAATCCGGGGTGTTGCAGCGCACCCTGACCATTAATTAATTTCCACAGAACACAGACTGTGATCAACTCAATTGGGACTATTGACCGATCTTCGTCCTTCTATCTCCCTTTTTGGCTCACGTTCGTCCAATCGATCTCACATAGCAAGTGACGAGATGACTTGCGACTGTGCGGAGTACCTATCCTTACCTGGAGCTTCTATGTTCTCTTGCTGCTTATCGTTATATCCAGGTTTTCAGGACTCCAGGAGTCAAGTGGCTCGTATAACTTCATCAACCGAGCGTGATGCGGATTAATCAGCCCATTTCATCGTTTTTCGGCTCTAGCAAACCGACTCAGCCAACCTGCCGCCACTCTTCTGCTTCTTTGCGATTACTCTAGCAAGTGCCTTTCTGTTACCATCTTTGCATCCCGTCTTATAATCGGTATGCCATCTACCTAGATCATGCCAGCCTTTCGACACTAGCTTCGTCGGCTCCATGCGAGATAGACCAGCTGTCAAGATCTGGAGAACCACTGTGTGGCTAGAAACCCCGATCTGACCTCAGTCAATAGCCTGGTATGTGGTATATCGACATGTGCTGGCTAAGAGCCTTCTGCTTGGTGACCAGGTCAGACGACAGCACCATTATCATTTGGCTCGGAGGCCCGGTGACACCGGGCGCGATTTAAGAATACTGCTGTTCCACTGCCGATTTTCCTTCTCCAATGAACCTTCACAAATACGGCATGACTCGGAGAGCTTTAAAAAAAGATTTCTTGAGAGAATTGGGCGGGCGGCGAGTATGAGCGTCATCGCTTGACCTTGGCGCTGGAAGGCCTGGTTTGAAGCCGCCTGAAGAGCTCCTCAGCCCTCGACGAAGTAAGCTTGGATATATTCAAGGGCGTCAGTTGCTGGCGCTATCTTGCGGTATCTTGCGAGACCATGCAACATGATCCTAGCTCACCACGACTTGTTGTCAACATCATGACGGCGCCACGATCTCAAGGTTGATGTTTACTCTTGCTCCAAGACATACACCGGGTCATACACTATCTAGGTAGTGGGAAGTGTGGATTTCCGACGGTCAAATATACCGGCGGGATTCGTAGAACTCTCCCCTCCTCTTCCCACAATCCTGCGCGACCGATAGAGACGCTGGATACATGTCTCGACGATTTGCTGCTGCTTCTGTTAGACGACTCCATGAGCGTTTTGGATCTCTGGAACTGGCACGACTTGAAATATCAGTGTGGAGAGTCGAGGAAGTTAACCAGGTAGGAGGAATGCCATCAAACTGACCTCCTCATGAGACCCTGCACAACACGGAGAGAATACCCCAGAAATGCGTATACCAGAGCAATACAGGTCTATTCGAGCTTGTATATCTCGGGTAACGTTCAACATCCAGCAACCACTGTGTTCACTTTATTGAAACCCCAATCTTAGTAACGAGAACCGACTGAAAACGATATTGAACTAAGCCCGCAAGCTGTTATTTCAGACATGATGATTTTTGTCCTTGCAACTTGGGCATGGTCCGGAAAGAGCTACATGATTGATTTTTGCCATTTTGCGGCCGTGCACATTAGATGTTGGCGGCTACAATAGCGTGTCCCGGAGCTGTGGTTGGAGACGATGCGGACACGGCACGGGAATATCGGAGCCGTCTACGGAGCGGCACGGGGGCTCCCGAGTGGATTAGTCAGTGGACCCGGATGCACGTCATTGAGGGGAACCAAACGGGGACCTCGGTGAGACTTTATCTTTTCGAGTTACTAGCAAATTCCAAAAAGTCTTTCTAATTCAACTTCTAAAGTGCAGATTGGCAAAGTTGAGTTTGAGATCAGAAAGTTTCATAAAATGGCCTCAACAATGAAAGCGGTTGGTTCGTCAAAACATGCCCTTTCCCAACGTACAACCCAAGGAACACAGTTGGCTTACAAATACACGAAAAATACAGACATCAAGGATGGCAAAGGTCCCAAGGAAAACCTCTTCATCAATGCCGACACGCCAAAGCCCACGGCGGGCGAGGGTGAGGCCCTGGTCAAGATCAAGGCCTTTGGCATCAACCGCATGGACCAGATCCAACGTCTTGGCAACTACCCGCTCCCGCCCCAGGCGCCCAAGACCCTGGGAGTCGAGTTCAGCGGGACTATCGAATCCTTTGGCGCGGGCGACCACGGCAATTTCAAGGCTGGAGATGAGGTCTTTGGCCTCGCGTACGGTGGCGCATATGCCGAGTACATTGCCGTCAACAGCAAGATGCTGCTGCATAAGCCCGATTTCCTATCCTGGGAGCAGGCCGCTGGTGTTCCAGAGGTAATGCATATCCAATCATATTTTAACACATCCCAACGGTAGTTGAAAATACTGACCATGAGTAAAACTAGACCTGGATCACCGCCACGCAAGCCCTGTTCCTGGTAGGCGAGTTCTCAAAGGGCAAATCCGTCCTCTGGCACGCCGGCGCCTCTGGCGTCTCTATCGCGGGCATCCAGCTGGCCAAGGACGCGGGTGCGTCGGCCGTTTACGCGACGGCCGGGTCCAACGAGAAGTGCGACTTTGTCGTCAACGAGCTCGGCGCCACGGCGGCCTTCAACTACAAGGAGGTCGACTGGGCCGAGAAGATCAAGGAGGCGACGGGCGGCAAGGGCGTGGACGTGATTGTTGACTTCGTCGGAGGCGGCTACTTCCAAAAGAACCTCGACGTCGCGGCGCGGGACGCGCGCATCGTTCTGCTCGGCCTGCTGGGCGGGCCCAACATTGAGGGGGCCAACATTGGGCCTCTGCTGTACAAGCGGATCAGGCTCGAGGGCAGCACGTTGCGGAGCAGGGATGTGGAGTATCAGGGTAAGTTGAGGGACCGGTTGGAGGAGTATGTGCCGCACTTTAAGACGGGGAAGCTCAAGGTTGTGATTGATACGGTGCTTCCGTGGGAGAAGATACAGGAGGCTCACGCGCACTTAGAGGCGAACAAGAACTCGGGAAAGATCATCTGCACCATTTCGTAGAGGGTGTTTGCAGATCGCAACCTAGCTTCAGACTCCAATATCAACAAGTCGGCATAGGTTATGCTAGATCAAAGAGTCTCTATTCCAACGTGCCTGTGATGCTGCGTCATGGGATTTCAGCATTACCATTCGCGTATGTCTGCTATTGTTATTGATTTCCAGCATCCGGGAGTCCTTGATACCATGCTCTGCGGACCGAGAAGGCCACAGCAACCCGGCTGCTATCAAGGCCCCGCGACGCCGTGTATATCGGCTGTCCTCAGGACAAAGAAAACCTCACCCGATTCCGCCACCCGTGGCTGACTGGGTTCATCGCATTCCAGTTGACCATGGCGCGGATGACTAGGTACCCATCCGCAATGTCGAGCGTCATTCGCTCATTGGAGGAATGTCCCTGGATTTTTTTCTGCTCATCCTCTACCGGCTTTTGCAAGCCCTTGGCATGGGGCGAGAGCGATCCGGGGTGATTAGAGTTCAAAGGAGGCTGACCGCTCGCGGCGAGCTTGGCTTTTGACCAGTGGTCCGGAAGAGGATCCGCGGGCTGGGGGGAGTCGAGGTCTCTCTGGTTTGATATTGGATGGTTTCTTTTTTCCTTCAATCTTTAGCGGGATCCTAACTGGTTGCGGGCGCAACGCAATTTCTCGAGACATTCCAAGACGTGGCGAGAGCGGGCTGTTGCTCTCTTCCTTTGAAGCACCGCTTTTCCCCCAAGCTGATTTTCACAAGCATTCTACCTTTCGTGCCTTGCTTCAGAAGCTCTGGAAGTTCTACAGGATGGATATCTTTTTTGTTTTGGGGCTGAAACTGTGAAACGATTGGGGATAGACGATGGCGATAAGCTCTACGCCGCTAACGTACGCCCAAAAGCAGGGGGGGAACAGCAGACAGGATCAATAGTTCAAAGGAGGGGGAAAAGCCGTACCAACGCCGTCTTTGACGTACCCGTCTCCCGAGGTCGCCTTGCAAGCAAATCGCAGAAGTTGGAAATGGCGCTGGGCTAGGCCCCCTGGGTACCGATTCCGTCATCAATACAACAAGAAGGGCAATAACTTGACTTGGGGCCCTCCCTCTCTGGCGTATCTCCCACCGGCTCTCCCTCTCTTTTCGGTCACTGCTTCTCGATTGTTTGTTTCGCTGTCAGAAGAGTCCCGCAATGTTGACTCTGCGATCCATCGTCGCCGTTGGAGCTTCGTGCCTCTTGAGGCTCGCTGGCGCGCAGTCGTTGGGTGATGCTCCGCAGTGCTCTGTAAGTGTCACATCTTCTTATTCTCCTTGTCGTCGAATAAGGTTTTCGCGTTACCCGTCGTAGAAGGAGCTAACGAGTGAGTTTAGACGAAATGCCTCTTCCAGGCAATGAGCCAGCCTGCATTTGCCAATCAGTCACAGGCGGAACTGTGTGTGGATGAAGGCTTCAACAACTTTGTCGGGGGTTGTGTGCAACAAGGATGCAGCGTGGTTGAGTCCCTGAGTAAGTGCATTGATTTCTCTATCCATCTTGGGCTCAAGATTGCCAGTGATCTAACGGGATTCTCAATTTATAGCCTTTGTCAATATCACAAGAACAGCATGTGGATTCCCTCTGTCAGACTATCGCAACGAGTCGAGAGCGACCAGTCTTGGCATGTTCATTCTCGCGGCCGCCTTCTTCGCATGTCGAATTACTGTCAAAGTCATGAGGTACTCTCCATGGGGAGCCGATGATAGTCTAATGGTAGTTGCGTTTGTAAGTATACCATATCTACATATGACCTCCAATTTCTGTCTGATGTTGACTAACAACCCTGAATAGGCCGCCCTGATTCCTTTCATAGTTCTGATTCAGTACAGTAAGTCAACTCCCTAGATAACCCATCACATAAATCGATAGCTAACATGGTCCTGCAGTGATCCCACAAGGCCTGGGACTTGATATCTGGGTTCTCCACGACTACCAGATTACCACCTTTCTCAGGGTTAGTACTACTGCTATCGACAGACTCCTCTACGGAAGGGGTTTTCCACAACGATTTACTAACGCCTTGCAGTACCTTCTAATGGTCCAAACACTCTACGTCTTTGTCCTCGCCATTGTCAAGGCATCCATCCTGCTGTTCTTCCTTCGCATCTTCCCAGAAAAGAAGTTTAGAATTGCAGTCTGGTGGACGCTAGCCTACGACCTCTTCGTCGGCTTCATCTTCATCGTCTTCAGCTTCGTCCAAAGACAGCCTACATGGCTTATCTGGGAGGGCTGGCGTGACAAGGACCCCCGCGGTGTCGTTCTCGACCTCAACAAAATGGGCTTGGCCCATGGCGGCATGAACATCGCGCTCGATGTCTGGATGCTTATTCTGCCCTTGACACAACTCTACAAACTGAATCTTAAGATGAAAAAGAAACTGGGAATTATCGCGATGTTCAGCGTCGGTATCTTGTGAGTAGTCTCCCGATTTCTTTATTGCAAATACTAACACGGGAACAGCCTCACGGTAGTTAGCATCATCCGCCTTCACAGCTTGATGACATTTGCGACATCCGCAAATGCGACAGCAGATGCGCGAGGGACAACAATCTGGTCTGCCATTGAGATTTGCACTGGCGTAGTGGTCGCCTGCATGCCGAATGCGCGACAGATCGTGCGAGAAGCTGGTCGGCAAATCAAGGATGCGTCAGCGAGTCTTACGAACAGGACGCATAGCACAAATTCGGGTTCGCAACGTGTCTTCCAAGACCAATCGCTCGAGATGCGGGTGGCAGTGAACTCTTCGGCCGCCCGATCAGCGCCAACAGACAAGTGCAGTTACAGCTCTACCACCGCCATTAATTCCGGGAGGAGGAATTCGAGCTTTACGAGCGATGTGGAGACAGCAAGAAAAGACTTAGACTTGATGTAACGTCATTGTCATGCGGGGAGGGGTTGCTGGGGAGCTTGTAGCATTGATATAATAATATTCCCTTGGGCCGTAAGAAGAGTTCCTTTAAAGCACTGATATCATCAAAGGTCGCAAGATGAACGACCACAACAGAAGCAAAGGCCATGAAAAGCAGACGAGGTCGGTCTTCCCTATTCTCAATGTTCCTTGATCCACTTCAACATTTGATCGTAGGCGGTAGTCTGAGCATCCTTGATGGCTGCATCCTGATATTCGCCAACAACGGCGAAACCTGGCGGAGGACATTAGCATTCGGTCAACGTCTTTCATGGGTAGATTTTTGGGCCTTACCGTGCGGTACGCCAGGGTAGACCTGAACTTCGTGTTCGAGGTTTGCCTTTGACATGACGTCCTCGCCATGTGTCCTGACCTCCTCAGGGAACAGAGGATCATTCTCAACGCAGACAAGAGAGATGGGGACTTTGACGCCCGTGAAGTCATCAGGGGTGACAGAAGCACCATGTGCTATCGCGCCAACCTTGATAAAAGGACCAGTCTTGACTTCGCCGGCCTCGGCGTCAGCAAGTCCTTGACCTCCCGTCGCGACCTTCTTGTCTGAGCCCAAGTGTAGGATATAGCGTCCTCCAATGCAGTAGCCGACAGCGTAGATGCCGTCGCCGTTCTTCACCGCATCGGCGAACTTCTCCTTCGATCCTTCAATGACCTTGTAAAGGATCGGCAGAACCTTCTCCTCTGTGTGTCGCGCCAACCACATATCAATTTGGAAGCTCTTGGCCGTCTCAACGATCTTCATCTTGAAGGTATCCAGGAACGATCCGGTGTCCTCGCTGCTGTCGATGGTCGACGAGTTAGGTGCCGCATCACCATTGAACAGATCGGGCATGACCACCACGTAGCCCTCACTGGCGAATTTATCGGCTTGGAGCTGGTTGTTCGTAGACTTGAGACCCGTGCCTCCCGTTAGGAGGAGGAGGAGCCTGGCTGGCGCATGAGGGTAGTCGGCGGGTTTCGAGATGTAGACCTTGAGTTGGTTAGTCGTTGGCCGTGGTTACAATGTGCTCGTAGTTGCAAAGCAGGTAATCTACTCACATCGACATCGTTGATCTTGATGATCTCGCCTGTCGAGGACTGGCCGGAGGCTGTGTCGAGTCAGTCTTGCGCAAAGGACAATAAAGGCCCAGCGGGAGAGCTCACGAGTGGGTCTGTCGGACACGCAGTGTTCGCTGTGCTCTCCAGCACCTCCCGTAGTCGTCGTAGGGCTGGTGGACTGAGCCGGGGTATCGGCAGCAGAAGTGCTCTCGGTGACGGGCTCGGTAACGGTGATCGTCTCGGCGGCGTCGCTCTCGGGAGCTTTCGTCGCAATGTCGGGCTCGATTTGGGTCATCTTGTTGAGCGGGGGTATGGGTATTTCTGCGGAGCACTGCAGTGGGAGGCAAACGGTTTTCTGGGAGAGGAAGGACGAAAATAGTGTCAGGGAATTGTTGCGACGTTGATGTAAGCTCACGGAAACGCGATGTGCACTGTCAAACTAGAAGTCTGTCTCCCTTGGCGCAACTTTGGATCAAGTCTGGACTGAGTACGTGTACATAGCTCGTAACACCACCAGGGATGACGTCTCAGCTTGATGCTTGTAGCTGCCCCGCGTGAAGTTGCTGCCACCTAAAGTGAGGTACGTACCGGACTCTGATCCTTCCCCACAATGAAACCAGACGACACAGGCAACAGGCCACAAGCGGGCATGTGAGAAAGAGCAGGAACTGATTAATTACCAGCTTACCTAACGGAAGGGAAGAACCCCGCCAAAAGCCATTAAACGCGTCGACGCGCTTTCTTCCCCCATCTCGCGAAGAACTTGCCTCAACCCCCCCCAAATCCTTCCCATCCTCAACCACCAAACTTGCACACAATACTACATCTTCGACCAACTTCAAGATGGATGTCGAATCAAAGATTACGAAGGGAGCCTTGGAGTAAGTCATCTCACAGTGTACTGCCCTTTTCACTCTTTCCGTACTGACTGAGCGCGTGCAGCGCCATCTTCAACGACCCCGAAGGCGCCAACACGAAATTCCCGGTCCCCGTTCTCCAATGTCTGCAGATCAAGCCTTTGGCCGCACAAGCAGGAGGCAACGCTGAGAGATACCGTATTGTTCTCAGCGATGTGAGCAACTATGTTCAGTGCATGCTGGCCACCCAGGTCAACCACGTTGTCCATGACAACAAGCTGGTCAGAAACTGCATCGTGCGGATTACTCAGTACCAAGCGAACTCCGTGAAGGGGAAGAAGTACGTGGTTCATTGCCTCCTCCTTGTTTTGATATTCGAGAAACATGATCTAACCTCTGACTAGCATTCTGATTATCCTTGGTCTCGAGGTTGTCGAGCAGTTCGGTACACCAGACAAGCTCGGCGAGCCCCAAGCCTTCGAAGCGAAGCCCCCCGCAGCAGCAAACACGACCATCGGTGGACAGAACTTTTACGGTGTCAAGCAAGAGGAGACAAAGCCCACACCAAAGCCTCAATCGATACCCACGCGCTCTGCCGAAGGTGCAACCACCCAGCATGGAAGCAACAACATCTACCCTATCGAAGCCCTCTCTCCATACGCTCATAAGTGGACCATCAAGGCTCGCGTCACGCAAAAGTCCGACATCCGGACATGGCACAAGCCTAGCGGCGAGGGCAAGTTGTTCAGTGTTAATCTGCTTGACGAGAGTGGCGAGATCAAGGCGACCGGTTTCAACGACCAGTGTGACCAGTACTACGATCTGCTTCAGGAGGGAGGTGTCTACTACATCTCCAACCCTTGCAAGGTTCAGCTTGCCAAGAAGCAATTTACAAACCTTCCGAACGACTACGAGCTCACCTTCGAGCGTGATACCCAGATTGAGAAGGCAGAAGACCAGAGCAGTGTGCCGCAGGTGCGGTTCAACTTCTGCAACATTCAAGAGCTTCAGGAAGTCGAGAAGGATGCCACCGTTGACGTCATTGGCGTTCTGAAGGAGGTTGCTGAGGTGTCCCAAATCGTCTCCAAGTCCACTGGCAAGCCTTACGAGAAGCGCGAGCTCACCCTGGTCGACGACACGAATTACTCAGTTCGCGTCACTATCTGGGGCAAGAGCGCTACTAACTTTGACGCCAAGCCCGAGTCTGTGGTGGCCTTCAAGGGCACTAAGGTGTCTGACTTTGGTGGCCGTAGTCTCAGCTTGCTCTCTTCCGGCACCATGTCCATTGACCCCGATATCCCCGATGCCCACCGCTTGAAGGGCTGGTACGACTCATCTGGCCGCAACGATACGTTCAGCAGCCACAACAACATGGCCAGCATGGGCAATGCCACGGGTCGCAAGGACCAGGACAAGTCCATTCTTCAGGTGAAGGAAGAGAACTTGGGTATGGAGAACCAAGACTACTTCAACCTCAAGGCTACCATCGTCTACATCAAGCAGGAGAACTTCGCGTATCCCGCATGTAGCAACGAAGGCTGCAACAAGAAGGTGACTGATATGGGCGACGGCACATGGCGCTGCGAGAAGTGTGATGTTGCACACCCGAAGCCCGAGTATCGGTACATCATGTCCATCAATGTGTGCGACCACACCAATCAGCTGTGGCTCAGCTGCTTCGACGATGTCGGTCGTGTTATCATGGGCATGTCGGCAGATGATCTGATGGCTTTGCGTGAGGAGGATGAAACGAAGATGGCACAGGCGTTCGAGCAAGCGAACTGCACCAAGCTGAACTTCCGATGCCGTGCGAAGATGGACACATTTGGTGAAGCTCAGAGGTACGATCACCCCTTCACCGCAGCTGACTTTCAACATACTAACATTTTCCAGGGTACGCTACCAGGTCTTGAGCGCAGGACAAATCGACTATAAGGCTGAGGGAGCTAAGCTTGCGGATCTCATTAAGCAGTTTGGTATCAGCTCTTAAAGATACTTGGAAGGGGAGTCCGATGAATGTGTATTTTACGATGGAAAGACAAGCCCACGCATCTGCGTGAAGAATCCCACTTAAAAGGGAGACACTGGTGATCAAAAATTTGACGAGCTACGAGGCAAAGGACCGCGAACACGGCGTCAATCGAAATAATGTTTGCAGGGAAATATGCTAATGGCGGCAGAAAATACCATTTTGCGTTTTCTTCTTTCTCTACCTAATCTACCACAGTCAGGCTCGAGAAGTTGTGCCCTTGTAATTCTGATAGTGTCGCAAATGCCTCTTCTGGCAATCAAAGCAATATCCCTTGTAAACCTGATCTCGTAACGCCAGCCTGATGCCCCCAGTATGCCGAGGTCAAATCTCATGCAGCACTATGTGCCGCTCTTTTTCTCATGCAAGAAATTATCTCACTACCCTCCCCCTCCTGATTCCGTGCATTCGTTGCTTCGTCATAAAGGGCGCGAGCTGTAGTGACGTCGAAAGATCATCTTCGAAGGATAGCACAATCGATAAAGCGACGATACTAAGGGTGTTGGATACCCGTCATAAGATCTTCGTCCTCGATGGACGCGTCGAAGCCGAACTCGGTGTTGTGTGACTGAGAGCCGTCCTTGTCTTGGCGCTTCTGTTCACGAATGATGTGCTTGGCGTAGTCCTTTGAGGCTGCAAGACGAACATCGCTGACCTTGGCGAACTTGTTCAAAGCCTTGATACGCGCGTCATCTGTGATCTTCTTTCGGTACTCGGTGTACTCGATTTCCGTGTCACGCGGGAGGAAGGTGAGGCACTTGACGCCATCAGGGCTGACCTCCAATGAGCCCTGAAGCATTCCGATGGTCACCATGTCCTGCAGGAGGTACTCCACCTCCTCGTCAGTCTCGAGGTTCTGTGCTGTCTCGGCACTGAGCGTCTGTTGGCGAATCTCTGACACACTGATCTTATGATACACGTCGGCGAGACCAAGAATCTGCCATTTCTGGTACGCCGTCACGACCACCTTGATTAGCTCGGTGGTTCCGTCGGCTACCCACGTCTCGATGCCTTTCTCGGCCGTGCCCTTGAATTGCTCCACGTTGGCAGTTGAGAAGAGGCCCGCGAGATCAGTGTAGAGTTTTGACAGAGACGCAAACGCCTTCTGAGCGCTTGAGCTGGTTTGGCCCGGCAGAACTGGTGTGTGGCCGAGAGCCAAGAGGCCTGTGAGAACCCACCGCTTGTGGGAGTCAGTCATCAACTTGCTCACAGAGGTTTCCCTCGATGGCCAGGTGATGATTCTCTGGTAGGCTTTATGAGCCTGCGCCCATTTAAGCTCCTTTGTAAAGATCAGGGCACTGAGGTACTCGTGCTCCATGACACCCTCACGAGTCAAGTATTCGGTAAGATGTGTAGAGAGGTTGATGTAGGCGGGAGGTGAGGCTGTTAAATCGCAGAGATATGCTGGGCGAGACTGATCCTTCATTCCAGGAAGAAATACCCATGGCTTCTCGAGTATCGGCAGCACTTCGTCGTAATTCGTCGTCTCGTATGCTAGCCTCACCACAGCGAGGTGGAGGCTCGTCAGCACGGCGGATTCGGGATCGAGCAGCCTCAGTGCGGCAACAACAATCTCAATAGACTGGCGCGCCTGCCAAGAGAATATACGATTAGTCAAGTCCATTAATTGGGCTTAAAGATTTCTCACCTGAAAGAACTTGCAATCCACGACATCCTTCAATAGGTCATAGAAGACATCGCCAACGTAGCGTATCTGCCGGGCATCGAATGACAGCAGGAACCGGGCGATATATTCTCGGAAGGAATCGATCGGAAGGGGCAGGGCGTCCTCGTCCACGTGCTTGAGGGTGTTCAGGATCGCGAGGTGGGAGATCGAGTGTTCGGCGGGGTGAACGATCTGTCACACGGCGGTTAGCAGCAACACACACTCAAAGGTGGGGGGCTAACATACCTCGAGCAGTTGCGGCGCTTTGGCTACGATGGCCGGCGTCTGGTCCTTGAATAAACGAGTGATCTTCGCGATGTGATTTCTAATGGTCTTGTCGTAAACTTCGTCCGTCTCGTACCTCTCGCGCTCGAAACAGAAAAGCGTGTCTTCCATCTTGCCTACGATTCAGGCACTTTGCCAAACCAGAAAGCTCGAGCTCCAACAATTGTGACAGCAGCGGCAACAGTTGTGGAACCCCAGATGCGAAGCTCGGGCTGGTCTGCGTCAAGATTTCTCAACTTGGGCAGAGATCAAGTTGTAAATTGGTGGTTTGTGTAGGGAGGTTGCGATGAATCCACAAAGCCCAGTCGCAACCCAGCGTGGTCCTGAGAAGCTTCTTGATGATGATGAAGCTCAAGACTACCTAAACAGCCCAGGGCAGGTACCAGCGTAGGCTGTACCATTGATCCATTGTGGGGGATGCTGGTCCGTGCTCGGCACCATAGGCAGCCAGGAAGTCCACCTCGCTTAATCGTCGGCTGATTAGATACCGATTACATCTTCGTACCTATTTGACCCACGGTGAAGAAAGGTGAACCCCCGGTCATAGGTGGCTGGCTGGCTGGTGGGGCAGTAATACCCCTCCATCCCAACAAGGTCTTGGGCAGGAACCTCGAATTGTCTTGCAAGGAAGATATCTCAAATCACTCCATACCATATACTCTGCGTCTTATCATCCTTATCTATACTAAAAGCCCCCATCTTGAAGGAAGGTTGCTCATATCTCATCATCGTAAAGCGATCACGGTCGAAACAGAAGAGAAGCGACAGTGTCAAATAACGTCCAACTTGAAATAGCAAACAGCTAAATGTAACAATGGGAGTCAAATGAGATGGCATACAGAGGCAGCAAGAAACAAACATGTGTATTTGGTGAGAGCTCAAGTACCTAGTCCAGCTTGTATGAAAAGGGTGCAATATGGTGGGAGGCTCCCTCTTTCAACGGTGTCATTGAGACTCAGCTGCTCTGAGACTGTGTTTTGTGTAGTTGCGGTGGAATAAAAGGTAGTAACATTAAATGCTATCACTAAGTCTCTTTGCGGAATATCTTGATTTAAGTGCCATTGCTACCCAGACCAGTGAGGTGTGGTTTCGTTCAAAAGGTAGGCAAGGTAAGGAAGGTAATTGGAGATTAGTTTCGAGTCTTTGGAGAACCTAGTCAGTTACCCCGCCCCCACCATGAACTCCAACGAAAAAACATTTCGAGACGGGATTGACGACCTGAATCAACTGCTCAGCGACATCGGCGGAAACCTAGTATTGGACCACGTCTGTGAATAGAGACAATTTAGTATGTATCAGAGTCCTTGCATCATTGAACGATTCTGTCTAACAGTTCACAGAAATCGTGAACCCCAATTCTCAGCCTACTCGCCGTTCAAGATGCCTCTTCCTGATACCGTCGAGTTGCCCGCGGCCTTTGACGCCCATGTCCACTTGCGTGACGATGACATGCTGCAGGTATGCGACTGTGGAATCCAATTCAACATTGACGGGAATGTCGCGAACGCTAAAGCCATTCCAGATCGTCGCTCCGACTGTTCGTCCTGGAGGAGTCAACCAGGTATGCCCACCCACGATCCAATTATCAACTTCAATCAGTTACTAACACAGCCAAAAAGGCACTGATCATGCCCAACCTGCAAAACAACCTGGTTACCAGCGTCAAGCGGGCCTTGGAATACTCATCGCGCATCAAACAGGCCCTGGGCAAGGACGAGGTCGACCTGCTCATGACCCTCTACCTCCACCAGGACGTCACGCCCGATACCATTAGAGAGGCCAAGAAGGCCGGTGTCGCCGCAGTCAAGAGGTGTGTCATTGGCAGCCGTCGAACATTCTGTTTAGCAAATAGAACGGTCGTTGACTCCAGGTTGCTACTAGTTACCCTGCCGGCGTCACCACAAACAGCGCCGACGGCGTCGTCGACTACGATGCCTTCCACGAGGTCTTCAAGGCCATGGAGGAGGTCGACTTGCTTCTCTGCCTCCACGGAGAGTGCCCTTCCCACGCCGGTAGCGATATCACCACGCTCAACGCCGAGTCCAAGGTAAATGATCTCGAGATGATGTTCCGAACATGTGCTCGTCTGCTGATATTCGTGGTTTAGTTCCTCCCCACGCTGAAAGCACTTCACGCCAAGTACCCCAAGCTTAGAATCAGTGAGTACAAAATCACTTTCTTCTAACGAGGCAGAAGCTGGTTAACTGACTTCACAGTCCTTGAGCACTGCACAACCGCTGAGGCTGTTGCGGCCGTCAAGTCATGGTAGGTGACGATGCTGTCCAATAGTGGTAATTTTGACTAACTAGATGCCAGTGGCCCCAACGTCGCCGGCACCATTACTTGGTATGATCCTCCACCGATCCTATAGGAAACCAGACCTAATCGTTATAACAGCCACCACCTCTTCATCACCATCGACGACGTCGTCGGTGACGCGGTATGACCCGATACCTCCATGATCCTCTGACCTCACCAAACTAATGCCATCACATAGCTCAACTTCTGCAAGCCCGTGGCCAAGGTAGACCCCAGCAGCACACTAAACCATTACAAAAATAAGTCAAAAACTAACCGCAAACCCCATCAAGCTCCCCGCCGACCGTAAAGCCCTCCTCAACGCTGTAGTCAACAGCAACGGCAAATTCTTCCTCGGCACCGACTCAGCCCCGCACCCAATCACCGCAAAGACGGGCCCCTCCAAGGCCGCCGCCGGCGTCTTCACCCAGCCCTACGCCGTCCAGTACCTCCTCGCCGCCCTCGACGAGGCCGTCGCCCGTGGCGAGCTCGCCGACGCCGACATCACCCAGGAGGCCCTCGAGGGCTTTGTCAGCGTCTACGGACGCAAATTCTACGGCACCGAGGACACGAAAAAGGAGCGGATTCGCCTCACTCGCGGCAGCGGCGCCGTCGTCCAGGAGACGTTCGAGGGTAAGGGGATCCAGGTTGTACCGTTCCGTGCTGGTAAGGAGACTTGGAGCCTTGCCTGGCTGTAAGAAATGTTATGGTTAGATGAGAAGCCAGCTGTGGTAGACGAACAGGTAACGATGTAAAGAGGCATATGATCGGCTACTTGTTCGCTTGCGTCTCCCCATCATTGGTTCGCGTCTTCTATAATACATACTGTCTTTCGAGCCAGGAAACAAAATAAAAGCGATACCTTGACAATACCCACAACTCTGTCATACCTCGTGTCTCATCATTCCAACCCTTCATATCCGATCCAACAGGTTGAGGCCAAGCTAGTAACTCTAGTAAGTCTCGTACCTGAGGCCTTCACCCCTCTCACCCGTGTTCGCGTCAAGCGAGCCCAGCAAAACGAAGTTGTTGGAAGTGGCGAAGGCACTCATGTTCTGGTAGGTGTGCGGATTCTGGTCGGGAGTCTGCTTCGAAGGCGGACCGATCGGGCCCCAGACACAAGAGGAGGTAGGCGAGTCCACATTCTGCTGGTACGTAGATCTCGAGTCTGTTCATCACATCAGCTTTGACTTTGTAGGGAGACGGCGATGATAAGCTCACCAGGCGAGCTTCTGTATCCTGCGCCGGGTCTCGCCAGTGATCCTGCGCTCATCTGTCCCTGGCCCCTGCCACCCTCACCTCTCCGCCACGACGGCGTCGCTCTTGTCAAGCCAGCAAGACCCCTATCACCAATGATGGGTGAATCCGGGCCGCTCTGAGATTGCTGACGAAGGTCAAGGTAGACCTCAGCTCCGCTGCCCTGAGGCTGCTGTTGCTGCTGTTGCTGTTGCCGGACTTCTGTCTGCTGCTTCTTCCACCACGCTGGCAACCCATGGAATAGACCAAGTGAGTGCTGTGTCGCCTTGTCAAAGGGCATCTCATGCTTGTACTTGCAACCTTGCTGGGTGAATGCGCAGACGCCCTCGTGAACCCACTTGTCACAGTAGATCTTGGGCTTCTTTGGCGAGTTGGGGGAGGTGGCTACAATCTGATCGATTCTTCGCTTTAAACGTTTGTCAGTAAACGTACTAATCCCCAAGACATGACTGCAAAACGATATAAAGAACGATAGCTTCAAAGAAACAGGTGAGCATACCTGAAGGGCATCAGATACCGGTGCCGGTGTAGACGCAGGTGACTGAAAGGTTCAGCGCCAACACTTTGGTGCCTGACAAAGAGCGCAGAAGAAAAGAAGGAAGTACACATACTCTAAAGGCAACAGGCAGGACAGGGCTGCCAGCCAAGTTCTGAGGGTCCGCGCCTCGCGGCTGTGGGAGAACGAGCAAACCTTCAGCCCCATTCTGAATGGCCGGTATACCAACCAAAGGTGGAAGCGAGTCAGCAGGAATTAACCTGGTGTAGTTGCCGTTTCCGCGATCCAGACAGTAGCCATGGAAGCCCGAAGTGTCGATATTCGTGTTCCTTTCCATGCTCGAAGCCTGGCGTTCCTGCACTGGTGATCCAATGATCATGTACTCGGTGCCGCTGGCCGACGAGCTGAATGAGCTGTAGTGCTTGTGGCCTTGACCGCCTCTCATACTCATGCCCATGCGCCAGTTTGGGGCATCGACGCTACGGGGAGCGTTTGCAAGGTTGTGTCTCATCAAGGTTTGCCCAGATCCAGACTGAAAACATTCGGGAGGATATAACGGCTGAGGCGGGTTCTCGGAATCGAAGAAGATGGTGCGGGAGCTGTCCATCTTTCTGTCGCTGATCTGCAGGTTGGAGATACTGTTCGGTGCCGATGAAGCCTCGGATTCGGGCGTCGTGTTGCGAGTAGAGCCTCGGGAGCCTTTTGGCGAGTCTGATATTTCGGAAGGGGAGCGGGCAAGGTTCGATTCCATGCTGCAGGAGCGAAAAGAATTAAAGAAGGAAGGAAGGAATGGAACGTCAGAAGAATCAGAAGCAGATCATATGTAGAGTTGCTCGGTAAAAGTCGAGAAAGGGCCAGACTAGGGCACGGGAGATAATATGGAGGATTCGGACCACCTTGCAAACGGGAAAGGAGGCCAGCAGTTTCTACCTTGTTTACCTTATGATGCCGTCGACCGAGAAGCGCCAGTTCTTACGCGTTGAGATGCTCTTTTCAAGCTCATCAAAGACGACTTTGATGTCGTCCACCGCTTGCAGGACGGCTAAAAATTCCGGACCAAGACGCCAAAGGCTCAGACACGAGACTCTGATGCCTTGGACGCGAATGGTCTATAAGTCATAACAAAAGCCTTAGAAAGTCGGGAGATGTCCGTTGCCATCGTCGTTTGCTCGACCAAAATAAGATCCGCTGCAATCGCCCGGTTAGCTGCAGTCCTGGTTTGTACCTCAACACGTGACAAACAGCTGCCTTCTACGGTTAAACAAGTCTAACAGAGCAAAATTCATGAGGTTCGCCTAAGGAGCCACAGCCTTGGAGAAACGTCAGATTGGTATAATTTTCTATCTGCGGTCCCATCCATGCCAGATATTGCAAGTGTTGATGTGTTGGTAGGTGTTGATCCAATCCTGTGAAAAGATATTTCTGTCGTCGTTTGAGGAATCTTATCTGAGGACCTGTAATGCTATGAGCTTTCTGACGCAAACTCGGAATGTTCATTCCTTTCAACGATCGTTCATCGTGGCTACCAAGTGTAGCTTCTCTATTAATTTTCGTTCTGCAGCAGGGTTTCTGGACGTCGACGGCCAACGCTTCAGATAATCGAGAGCCAGACGCAATTGAACTTCTGAGGTTGGGGCTGGGCAATTGGCAGAGTAATGCCGGAAGCCGCATTTTGCGCAAGAGGATGCATCAGGATGCATCTGGGACAAACCGAACGACGGTCTGCGTGCCTTTCCTGACGTGGATGGCACAGTATGGCTGCCAGAAGCTGCTTGACGTACGGCAGGAGCGGAATGTTGCTGCTGCTGCTGAAACTCACGAGCAGCGTGCTGAGTTGTAGGCAACTCACCGCCAGCAGCCGTTCGGACTACTGTCAGGTGGTCAAGCCATGCCATATCAGGCTTCATTGGTCGACCGGAACGGCTTCCTGGTGCGGGAGGGGGCTGCTGGTAGAAATGGACTCCGGGCTGGTGATAGATGGGGTTAGGGTTGGACTGAGAAGGTGGGTAGACGGGGTAGGGGTTTGGTCGTCCGTTTTGTGGGATTGCCCCGTGGTCTGGTCTGGGGTTTGGGCCTGATCCTGGCTTCCAGTTCGGATTGATTTTCCACTTGTGGAGGGCGCCTTGGCCTGTCGCGACGCCGCGGTAGTTCGTTTTTGAGGTGTCTGTCTTGGTTTGCGTGGAGTTGGCGTTTTGGGCTTTGTGTATCGCACGATGTCGGTTTTTGGGGTCTTGCGTTGTCGTTTCTTCTGTGGTGTGGATGTGTCAACTTGCTTTCTCTTCACGCCACGCGTACTTGTCTTAGTCGAACGAGAAGCTGAAGGTTTAGCTTTACCTTTGGAACTGTCATTCCTGTTTTCAATGTCAGTATCAGGATCCTCCTCATCCTCTCCGCCAACAAATTCTCCGTCGTTATCGGAGCTGTCGCTGTTGATGGGGAGGTCAGTGACCACACCGGTTCCGCCGTTGTTCTTGTAGCTGATTGCCTGAGATGAATCTGTTAGGACATTTGGGAGAAGACTAATTTCGACCGTGATTGCTTACCTGACGGCGCCGACCACCTCGACCAAGGACTTCCTTATTCAAGTCGGCAATGCGTTTAGCTTCAGCCTCTCGCTCTGCCAAGATCTCCTCCCATACGTTAGGATTGACTGTGGGCTCATGTTCCTCAGCAAGATTGTCCTCGAAGCCGTCTTTGTCATTGGCCCAGACACGAGCGAAGGAGAATTGCGATTCGGCGGAATCGTCGTCGCCAGTCTTTGTCTGTTCAATAGTCGACCGGTCAAGGAGCTTGTCGACGCTTGCATCATCGTACCGGACGATGTCCTTTTCGCTCTGATCATTGCTGAATAGTGCTGAAGCACCGAATTTCAATATCGATTCTAGGTCTTCAGACTCTCCTAGATCGTCCATTGCCTCAATCAAGACATGGTCAAGAGCCATCTTCTTGCGGCCAATTTGCATGATCTTTTCCTCTGCTGAATTTTTCGTCATGAGTTGAAAGCACAGCACCTTATGCTTCTGACCGATGCGGTGAGCACGCGAAATAGCCTGTATATCTTGATGTGGATTGAAGTCAGGATCCAAGATGATGACGGTGTCAGCGGTCGCGAGATTGATCCCGACACCTCCAGCCCTCGTCGAGAGAAGGAAGGCAAAGACTGGAGAGTCAGGTTCGTTGTAGTCATCGATGTACTTCTGCTTTTCCCGACTGCTGAGACTGCCGTCAAGTCGTCGATATTGGAAGCCGAGACCGTTCAGGAAATCTTCAATGATGTCCAACTGGTTCAAGAATTGGCTGAAGATAAGAACCCTGTGTCCTCTTGCTTTGAGCTTTGGCAACATGATGTTCAGCAGCATCAACTTTCCTGAAGCTGAAATCAGATTCTCGTGTAGCTGGGTCTGATCAACCGTTCGCTCTTCGACTGCTTCGCTGTACATGAACGGATGACAAAGACATTTCCGCAGCTGCATGAGGATGTTGTTCAAACTGCCACGATCTTTCTTGTTGACCTTGTCATCTGCAAAGATTGCCTTGATCAGATCGGGACTCTTGGCGATGATCGACTTGCAAAGCTTCTCTTGTAGGATCGACATAGAGACGGGAACGATGATTTGAGCCATGGGAGGCAAGAACTTGAGCACCTGAGCTTTGGTCCTTCGTAGGAAGTACTGTTTGATCCGACCGTGCAGTTCGGGAAGGTTCTGCGCATTGAGCTCCAGAAATTCTTCGTCGAGTTTCGCAGCATTCTGGGTTGGATCGATGAATTGAAGCAAGTTGAAAAGCTCTCGCTTATTGTTCTGCAGTGGTGTCCCTGTGAGGAGAAGTCGGAAGGGGAATCGCATGGAACGCAAAGCCGTATACAAGAGACTCTTGTCGTTCTTCAATCGCTGTCCCTCGTCAACTACAAGGCCAGCCCATTGAACTGAACGGAAAAGATGTTTCGTGCGATCGTCTTGCGCAGAGTCATATGACATGACAACAACGTGGGCTTTGATATCTTGAGAGCCACGCGGGAAGAGCTCGTATTTGTACGCCAACTCTTGCGCTTGTTTACCGCCATGGTATGTGACCACTCGAAGGTCTGGTGCCCACTGTTTGATTTCGCGACGCCAATTTGGACAAGTCGAGTTCGGAACAACCACCAGGAAAGGCCAGCACTGCGGAAGTCAATGTAAGCACAACATATAGTAAACTCTTCATGAACAGCGCAAAAATACCTTTGGCTCGCCATGGACCAGGGTCGAGATCAAGCTGACGACCTGTACCGTCTTGCCCAGTCCCATCTCATCGGCAAGAATGGCGTTCTTGTCACCGTGATAGTTCCATAGCATCCAGTTGACGCCCTCAATTTGGTATTCCATAAGCTTGCCGCGGCGCAGACCAGGGGGCTGCTGGGTTAACTTGACGAAATCCTTATCCTTCCATTTGTTCACACGCTCTTTCATTTTGGCATTCGTGGAGCTAGTGAAGTACTTGCCAGTAAGGTATTCGTAGTACGCAGCCTTGAATGCCGTGTACACCTCGCCAGCATCTGGCTTTGGCGGCGAATCCCATACTGCTTCGTCGTAGCCAAGACCTTGAAATTTCACGAAGATCTTGTCGACGCTCTCAATGCACTCCATCTCATCTTCCAGCGTTTTTGGTCTTCCTCCTTTCACCTTGGCCTCAAAGATGACATCGGCCATAAGAGCATCTTGGGGGATTGCCTCGGCTTCGGTGAATTTCAGGGCTAAGTTCTGATCCGCATCCTTTTTCGCGAAGGAGTTGCGCATCGAACCTGCGGCAACATGAAAGAGCCATGCACCAGGCATCCAGCTGCAGTGGAAGTACGACTTGTCCTGCCACTTGATGAGATATTCTTTTTCATCCTCGTTGAAATCGCTGTAAGTCTTGCCGGATTCGATTGAGTCTTTTCCCAGGGGCCGCCAGGCAACCAAGGTCTGTATCTTGTCGGAGACCATGCCGCATTCGACACACTTCCAGTCGACAGAGTATTCGGCAAGTCGCTGCTGGCGAATATCAGACACATCCGAGTCCATCTGCGATGACGGTAAGTGCTCATAGTGCCAGCCACGCTTGCACATGGTACAGCGAAACAGGAGGCCGTCGGCGTTGTTGACCAATGATGAGTCTACTGGCGTAGCAGGATCTTCACCACCATTCTCAAGGCGGATTTTCTCTTCTTGTCTGGGTGTTTTCTTGGACGAGAAGGCCGCACATGACCGTCCAGAACTTTTGCATTCTTGGCATCGACTATGTCTTGGGCTGTTCTTGTCCTTCTTGGCGTAAACTCCAATGCAGAACTTGCACTGTAGAACAAAATTGTCCACGCCAACCTTGGTGACAATGTGTTCTCTGGCAGATCTGTAACCAATGCAGCTTTTGTGGAATGATACGGAGCAGCCTTGACAGCCGATCAGTGGACCTTTGTTGGCGGCAGGGCCGGTATTGCAAGCAGTGCAGATGTCCGCGTGATATTGGTTGAAGGGTGCGTCGTGGTCAATTTGCTTGAAGACTTCCTTGATGTTCATGACCTTGGGGGCACCAACGGGTGCTGTATCTTCAATGTAGAATGATTCCTCATCCATTAGAGCAAGATCAAGCATACTGCCCTTGTTCCTTGTGGATCTGCCAGACCGACGACGATCCTCAAACTCGATTGAGGAGCCACGAGATTTGGGTTGCCCGATGGTCTTGGCCTTGACCCTGAGGCGCCGTGATTTCTTGCGCCTAGCCGAGGAGGACTTGGGTAAGAGGTCGGATGTGATGATTTGAAAGTCCTCATCGTCGTCGGATGGTTGGCGAGGGTGTTCTTGAGACAATTCGTCCAAGTCATCGTCCCTAGACAAGGGCATGCTGGTAAAGGCCATACTTGTCAACTTTAGCTGTCTCTGAGTTCGCTCTCTGAGTTCGCGACCTCTCGCGGGACCCTCATCCATGATCCCGTCGTCTGAATTCACTTTCGAGTTGTGTCTCGTGCTTCTTGTAGATGTACGCTGGCGCTTGGAACGGCGGGAACGCAGGTCCTCCTCGGAATCGGAGGTTTCGCGGGTGCGGCGATGTGTCGAGCTTCGGAGACGTTTAGATTGACGGGGAGCTTCATCTTCGTCAAGTTCAATGGCATCAAGATCGGCGTCAGAGTCTGAAATCGACTCCTCCCAGTCGTCTTGCCAACGGCTGGTGTCTGGAGCCATGATGCCTTGATACGTCTGAACAGCGACTTGGCCTCTTTCATACGTGAGTAATTCGACGAAAGGTATCTTCAGCGGGTTAGCTAGGTTCTCGGAAATGTACAGGTCGAGGTAGAAATAAGCTGGAGATTGTCTGATTGAGAGTCAAGTAGTGATTGAAGAGAGATTGGAAGGAGGGTTATCAGCGTGAGTTGACGTCGAAAAGCGGGAAGGCGCTGTTTGTCCGCTGTTGCAGACCGCAATACAAGGCTCTCGGAACGAAAGCTATTGTATTTGGAGGGTGAGGTATGTAGGAGGTTTGGTAAAAAGACTTGGCGGGCAGAGGTTGAGATTTATATAGAGGCGGTGGGAGTGGAGGTGAGAGGAGTAATTGGCGATGATTTCGCAGGCAAGAGCATTCCACTCAAGCCAGGGTAGCAAGGAGGGAAGCAAGGGGAGAAGGAGGTAAAGAGAGAGCCAAGGGGAAGGAGCAGTCAAAGACTGGATCTTGACCGGGAGAGAAAGCGATGCTATATTTGCAAATAAAGAGCCAACTCACCATATCTTGTCGCCCATCCGTGAACTCTACCCTGTACCACAATTCGCCTTCAATACCAGGGACCTCCTCCATGACTTCGTCGACGACGTCGCTTTTTATTGAGAGGTATTGGGCGCGTTCCTCCTGTGAGATTTGCGGTAGGGTAATCTCGAAGTTCCACGGGCGCAATCTCGATATCGCCTCCTCTATGTCATCCTCTGGCTTTATATTTGCGGAACTACCGACTCGTTCACTCGTGATTGCCGTCCCATTCTCGTAAGCATCATCTGCCTCAATAGAAGGAATGTGTTCGTCGACGCCGAAATCGGTTCTGGGCGGGGGGTTTGCGATCTCCTCAGTTGCAGGCTCAGCAGTGGCGTCTTCAACTTCTGGTTGGATCGAGACGCCGCTTTCTTCGATATCCTCCATATCTTCGTCTGCCATACTGTCGTTGAGCATAACCTCGTTCTCGTCCGCAACCTTCTCGTCCGCCTCGGTCTCGTCGGCACGAAGATCGGCCTCGTGGGAGGGATCGAAGTCGGCAGTATCGAGTCCAAAGAGAGCATCGCTCGGGGAGCCCTCCAGCGACATGATGGCATCGTCGTCAGCGCCGGTTGGAAGGTCATCCATGATGCGACAAGTTGCGACTTGGTCGCATTTATGGGGGTGTGTCAGGAGTTGGTGGGATGTCGCAAGCTGGTTCTGGAGTGGTGATCAATCTGAATACAAGAAGAAAGCAAGAACGAAAAATGGAAAGTCCCAGCAATTCAATCGATCCCCATGTTTTCCTGTTCACAGCAGACAGCCGGCGGGCGGGAATGGCGCAAGTTGTAGAAGGTGCTTGTCAAGGCGTGAAGGTGGGATTATTCGACGGTTGACGCGACGAACCTCGAAACCGCGTTGCTACCCGCTGTATCCATTAAACTTAGTTCCAAAGTGGGAATTGGCGCGCTGATAGCAGATACGTACCTGTTCTTTGTGTGGAGACTCCGGGATGATACCCACCAGACCTTTGTCTCTAACCAATGGAAGCCCCGGTCTGTCCTGTAAGTAGCCCTCACCGCCCGGACCCTGCTCAGCTCTGGAATGGCAGAAAAAAAAGTTCCTCGAGTCGAGTTCCAGGCGCAAATGCACTTGCGTACGGAGCAGTGCTTGACATGTTGCAGCGGAAAAACAACATCAACATCAGCATCATCATCCCGGGCCCATCCCTTGTACACAATGCAATGAGTCTCCTTATAAGATGGAGCGCTTCACGCCCACTTACAGCAACCCAAAGAGCTGTCCAGCTCTCCGGCAACCCGTTCCTCTACGGCCAAGCGCGTAACGGGTCTCTTTCTGCGATACATCGCGGTATTCACCGTTCCGACAAACCACGCAACGACCGTACCGACCGCAACTCCAGATCTTCCTCCAGGCCACGATTCACAGAGTCTCGAGGTGGCGGCAGATCGAGAGATGCAGCCAAATCTAAGCCCGATGCCTTCAGCGATCGATTCTCCAGTGCTATCGGTAACCGTCGAGATGGCCCACGAGACCGCGAACAGCGCCATTTCAAGCCCAAGAAGGCCTTCCAGAAGATGCAAGAGAGAATGAAAGAGCAGGAAGAAGAGGGAGGCAGGAAATCCCGGAGCAAGCGGTTCAATAACCCCGAGTTCTCCTTCGGCAAGAAGAGCTTGGTCTACCAACTCAACCGTGGCGAGTTAAAGGACAAGGTTGGCAGGCTGCTGGAGAAGAATAGCCCAACAGAAGTGGAGGAGTCATCGAGGTCACCAGCACAGCGTGAAATTCAAAACGACTGGTTCAAAGGCCGTCAAGAGGATCGTCAAGACGGCCGCCAGCGCGAGCGATTCCAGGATCGCCGTCCAGAACGTCAACCCGAACGATTCCAGGATCGCCGCCCGGATCGGCAACGCGACCAGTTTTCAGACCGCCGTCCGGATCGCCGGGATGCTCAGTCAGAACGGAGGTCAGGCTTCACGCCAGGCTTTGCGCGAGAGCGCATGAACTCCATGCGAGAGGGTGCCCGCAGAGAACTCGAGGGCGCCCCTCCTCGGCGATTTGGGTCAAGGCAGCCGGACCATGAGGCATCCTCCGATCCGTCAGAATTCCGTGGCTTGGTACAGTTCACCACAGCTGCGTCGCAGTTCCTCTTCGGTCGCTCGGTCGTCAAGGCAGCGCTGAAGAACTCGCAACGCAAACTCTACCATCTCTACCTCTACCAGGGAAGTAACAAGAAGGAAAGCATGGACGATAAGTGGATCTTGTCCATGGCGGAGAAGAAGAAGGTCAAGATCACTAAGCTGTATGAAAACGACCAACAGCTGCTCGATAAAATGAGCAAGGGACGCCCACACAATGGCATCGTGATGGAGACATCCCCGCTACCCCAGTTGCCGATCACAGGCCTCGGCGCAGAACACAGCGAGCCTCAGGGCTACCCCGTATCCATAGCACGCCAGTCCATGGAAGACGTCGCGATCAACGGAACCGAGGGGTTCATTCCTTACAGGCCCGGTACGGCCCGGCCGCTTGTGCTCCTTCTGACCGAGATTCTGGACCCCGGCAATCTCGGTGCCATTCTTCGGACAGCCCGGTTCCTCGGTGTTTCGGCGGTTGCTATTACGAAGAGGACATCATCATCGATCACGTCTACTGTTTTGAAGGCGTCTGCGGGCGCTTCTGAGGAGTTGCAGCTGTTTTCTGTGGAGGATCCGGGAGCTTTCCTTCACGCTAGCGCAGCCGCTGGATGGACCTCATATGCCGCTGTCGCACCGACAGCTGGCTTGCGTAGAGACAACCGCCAGTGGACACCGGAAAGTATTGAGGAGACGAAGCCTCTCCTTTCGCAACCTTCCATTCTCGTTCTTGGCAACGAGGGCACTGGTCTCCCGTATGATATCAGGAAAAAGGCCACTCATGAGATCACGATCCCACGGATGGCAATGTCGAGCTCGGTGGACAGCTTGAACGTCAGCGTAGCCACAGCCTTGCTCTGCAACTCGTTCCTGAGAGGCACTGCAGAGCCTAGCAGTCTTACGGAAAGGCTGCAGAAGGAAGCTCACAAGGCAGATGCCGGCGAAAGTATGTTTTAGAGCGTTCTCTCTTGTGGGAAAGATGTGTAACACCATATGATCATGTAACATATTGTACAAATACCTGTAAAAGTACGGAGTACATTTAGAGTACCTGACAAGACACGTAAGCGATTTCGGTGATGCAAAGCCAGGCCTCTTCTCTGTATAATAGACATTCGTTACGAAGGTAACTACCTTACCAACAGAGGCTCTGATGCGAGCTTGCATATGCCGTGCTGTCTTGGAGTTCTCGCAAGCATAAGATCGGCCTGACCCAATGGTGTGTCCTGGTGGCCCCAGACCTCCCGTCCCGCGGACCCCTGTAAACCTTAGCAGCCAAACCCCTGACAACGTCCAGGCCCGTGTCTCTCCCGTCCCTGCCACCAATGCTTGTCAGCAAAACGGCCTTGAATGACGTCTGTTTGGCATCTGTCAGCTAGGCCCAGCCCCCTAAAGAGTCCATAGCTCAGGTACGTACACAGAGCTATACGTAGCAGCCAGCCCGGCGACCCGCAGCCGCCGCCGACTGATTGAGGACCGGAAAGATTAAGCACTGGTAAACAAACCGGTAACAAGACAGAAAAGAAAAGGGAAAGTACTCGACAAACACATTGCTGGGGTGATCAGATCTCGAGTTTGACGTGTACTTGCTGCGGGCCACAGACATCAAGTTGACAGCGGTCAGATACGAGGGCGGTGAGGTGTCGCAGCCTGTGTCGAAGCCCGAGCAAGCTCCATCGTCTTGCAGCTGGGATCTGGACCTCCCGGCGTGGAGTGTGAGACTGCTAGGTAAGGTAGGTGTGAGTTGTGCATCTTCGCCCAGCCACCGATTTCCGCGGCGCCTTCCACGCCTCACTAAATGCCCGACCAGACCTTTTTTTCTTCTTCTCTTTACCCTTTTCAATCTTCTACATTTCAATCCGAGCGACCCTCTGCAGATTGACATTCCACACCAAATCTCCGATCGTCGTTGAGAAAGATCGTCGGCGTCAGTGAACTAAACTGACAGGCGCGACCCAGCGCTACTTACACACAGAGCTTGGGGCCGATCGACGACTTTAACCCAACTTCAACACCATCATCGCCAGGCACAGGACAGATTCCGATCGGTACCAAAGGCCTTGCGTCGAACTCGGGACAATGCGTTCTAATTCCCTTCTGGGTCTCCCTTCATCGCTCTTGCTCCTCACAGCAGCATGTATCAACGCAGAGCATCCTGCGGCCGTCCGCAAAATGTCACCAAACGCCGGGGAGAAGCTTCTGCACAATGACTTCGCCTTCACCCCCAGCGACGTCTTTGGGACAATAAACACCACTCCACTCTCGCCCCGTGAACAGCTACTCGCCGCTCGCATGGCCGACGATAACTTTCTATCCAACGCCTCATTTTCATATCGATCACCCTTTGCGGAACATCATGACAGCACTACTAGCCTGGGCTGGGAGAGCCTTAGGCGCGCCGTTGAGGCCCTTCACATACTCGAGAAGAGACAATCTTGCCCGACGAGCATGAACAGCTGTGAATACATCGGTGCGGCCAACAAATGCTGCCTGAGCAACGAAGTGTGCGTGAAGGTGGTCGATGAGCACGTTGGGAACGTCGCCTGTTGTCCGAAGGGCGCTGCTTGCAGTGGAGCTGTTGCGGCATGTCCCAGCGGTACCACAAGTTGTGACGCGGATCTGAGTGGTGGATGTTGTATTCCAGGATACGTCTGTCAAGGTGTTGGCTGTAAGTCTTGTGCGCTCTCAAATATGCCCTTGCAAGCTGACATGACCTAGGTGTACCGAGCCCTCCTCCGGCAACGAGTGCTTCGCCAAGTCAGACGGCCACAGGCACTGGTGGAGGTGGAGGAGGAGGAGGCGGCGGCGGCGGTGGCGGCAGTACCGGTGGCGGAGGAGGTGGTGGAGGAGCAGGCACGACAGTCGTTCAGACCATCACCACAACGTCCGTCTCGACAACGACGCTTGTCGACGGGAGAACTACGACCGTGCATGTGACGGTAATCGTGACGGTGAATCCCGGCGGAGCGACCACGAGAAGAACCACGACGAGCACAACTCTTGAGGAGCCATCGACCACGACGCCTGAGCCCACGACGACGACTACTGGCACCGCGGTGCCTCCTTTCCGACCGACGTCCACCGACTCGGACGAGCCGCCGGTCACATCTGCGTACTGCCCGACTGGGTTCTACGCGTGTCTCGCCCGCGCTGGTGGAGGCTGCTGCCAGACTGGGCGTGACTGCGCCACTACCTCATGCCCGCCTACGGAATCGACGACCATTATCAGCAACGGCGTTACCGTTGTCGTTCCTCTCACCGAAGTGCCGGAGCCCCAGGCGACGGAGACCTGCGCGAGTGGGTGGTTCTTGTGCGGCGACGAAGGCGGTCCCGTTCCTGGCTGCTGTCCGAGCGGATATGAGTGCGGCACCGCGAGCTGCTCGAGTATCTCACCGACACAAACTGGCGAGATCCAAAAGCATTTTCCTAATTCAGGGGTTCCAAGGGTTGCGGTGTCGTTGGCTGCCATGGTCATCTCTCTAATGGTTGCGTTGTTTTGATTTATAGCATCATGCATTGGGCGGCGTTTATAGACTGGAATTTCAAAGGCAATGAGGACGGATTCACCAGAGATCCGATAGGAACGCGGAACGAAAATACGATGGTCGGGGGACGAGTACGAGGGACGTATAATGGTCTTGAGCACGATGAACATAGGAGGATCTCACAAGGCTTGAGGTTAGGGAACATATTCCAGCACACATTGAAGAATGTACTTGCGTCGTCCCTCATTCAAAAGTCTCTTTGATACCAGCAACAAAATCTTGACTCTAACATACAGTCTCCTTATGTAAAACAGCGATTGATGCTACTTGTCAACAAATCGCGCTAAACAGACCTTCGTAAGTTCCGAATGAAGTTTGGGTGAGATTGTCCTTTTCACGGGATGTAAGACAGTACCCTCACCATCTAGAAGAGAAGCTTCCAACACTTGATGAGAGGATAGATGAACATGGGATATAAATGATTGGATCTATCTGGTACCGCCAGGGCCTACAGACTATATTACTCGCTTTTCTTCCCGAGGTTTAAAAAATCCAAATCCGAATCTTGATCCGAATGATTCCCTGTACCACGTTGAAGTCTAATCCAGTATAGCCCAGTATTGGCCCTAGTTCCGAATTTCCTCCTGTTCAAGAGATGCGGTCCTCATGAGGGTAAGGGAAGGACCGAATAAAACTCCTTGCGCCGTGTCAAGTATACTCCGCCTCAAGACAGGCGCTATAATAAGAAACTGTTCCCGCCCATGATGATGTGATTTGGTGTGACTGGTATTAAAGTAAAGATGTATAATGCAAAGAGTCGGGCTTTTCCGTGGTGGCCTAATGATGGGTGGGTATGTGTGAATCTGCTAAGGAATGATCGTATCGTTGAACACCTCGATATCTTTCGCCTGTAGAGGGGGTTTGCGAGTTGTAGATCCGTCGACAGGTAGGAAAAAACACAAGTCTAGATGAAGTAGGCAGCGACGATGCCAGCAACGACGAGAGAGCCGACAGAGTTCTGGACGGCGGCAGCGGTGGGCACGGAGGTTGGGTTGGTGATTGTGCCCGAGGGCGGGATCGGTGTGCGCGTGCCTGGTGGGTAGCTGCCGGACGTGGCGGTGGTAGGACGACCGGAGCTGCCTCCACCGTTGCCGCCGCCGCCGCCGCCTCCACCTCCACCACCACCGCCGCTCGTCGGAGCAGTACCATTCCCAGGAGGCGCAGGACCGCCGCCGGTACCGCCACCACCACCACCACCACCACCGGTTCCAGTAGGTCTAGCCGGACCAGTGGTACTCGTCGTGCCATTCACAGACGACCTTGGCGGCGGCCCAATCGGATACGTAGGCCGCGGGACATACCCCGTCCCCGTCCCCGTACCAGAGGCGTAGGGCGTGCAGACGCTGGGCGGAAGCTGGAAGGGGCTCGGGGACGCGTAGACGACGCAGTTCTTCTCGCAGGCGGCGTCGCCCGAGTAGGGCTGGGACATCCAGCAGAGGGACGGGTTGACGCCCAAGGGGAACTGGCCGGCGAGGTTGTCTGTGCAACGGCCTGGTTGGCCGCGGGCGTTTGCGTCGCAGCGGATGATGATTTCTGTTCCGAAGGAGTCGCCTGCGCAGAAGGCTGAGTTGGGGCGGGAGCAGATGTATTGGCCTGTTGTTGCGTTGCTGGGTGAGAGTGGTGGTGTTAGTGAGGGCGCGGACGAAGGGGGGTTGAAGGGAGAGACAGGTGGTGGTTGACTTACTATGTGACTTGGGCAGAGGCCAGTGCCGAAGCGGCGAGGATGAGGGTAGCGGATGTCTTCATGTTGATGCTTCTCTGGTGAGTCGTCGTCGTGGTAGTGAAGACGGCAAGGTGGAAAGGGCAGAGGCAACGAGGATAGACGAAGTCTTTGTGTAAGTAGCTGAGCTCACACAACACGAGGGATACAAGTTCATGTGCTGTGGTGTGAGATATGAATGCTGATAATGAGAGAAACGGAAGGGATGAAGGTGGTCACATCCGTGATCCATATATAGATGGCTAGGTGTGTGGAAGCATGGGAATCTAGTAAGTACTAACTAGTGAAGGGGGGAAACAGAAGAAGCCATCTTCAGGCACGGAAAGGAAGAAGAGTCAAGATGGCTGGGATCGGCTTTCGGAAGCTAAGGCGAGGTAGCGCAAGCAAACGTCGAGTGGAAAGTCAGCCTTGGCTCTAATCCATTCACCCACTCCAGAAAACGATGGGAGTGGAGAGATCCGCTGGGCTCGGAAAGAAACGAAGACGAGAGAGAGAGAAAAGCCGGCGACGGCGCTGAGACAGACGTCAACTGCGATGGCGAAGTCGGGCTGGAGGCTGGCTGGTAGCGGCGCGTTGGTGGTGCGGGTTTGCCGATTGGCGAATCGGGTTGTCGTCGGCGTCTTTTCTTGGAAGATTTCTTCACCGGCCGACTTTGGATAAGGTACCTTGCCTTACTTTAGGCATTTGAGGTGGTAGGTAAGTCACAAGATTTTGGTTGCCTCTGAACCTGTCTTCTGCAGTCTGGGCAGTAGGTATTCCCAATCTTGCATTGTTCTGCAACCGGAACCCCGGAAACCCCGGGATGCGTGAGTTTCGCGCAGCACGCAGAGAGGGAGCAACGGAGAGGAATGAGAGTTACGATGGCAGGCCAAAGGGGAACCTCGCTCCCCCTCGTGCCAGTTCCCTGTCATCGGCCGCGTGTTTTGCTTGTAAAAGGAAGCAGAGTCATTTTCGATAGAGCAGAACTGCATCGCTGATATCACGAGCGACGCTTCCAACCCCTCCCTGTAACGTATTCCTTCATGGGATGAACTTGCGATCCGACTCTTGCTTACAGGACTTCTCGCCATTGCTCTTCATGAATATGATACAGACTGGTCGGGGATTTTATTTCCCGCCTCTGTTGGATTTGAGGATGATGATCGTATCTCGTCTCCAGAAGCTGGTTACTTGGATACAGCTCGTACGATTAAAAAAAACCCACCAGCAATCGTGTGTAAACCTGCACACTGACACGAGATCTACAAACGACTAGGTAATCGTTCTCTCATCAAGCAGTGAGACAACTGACACGAATGCAAACCTGAAAGTGGCCGGGGAGAGGGGTGGGACTGCACGCGCACATTCCACACCCGAGAACGGTTGCGAAGTGGTGTGTTAGTGACTGAGAGATACACACGTGCAACCCGTCAAGCCACCATTATCGTCGCCAGCTTGTGTGGCCTGTCCACTACGGAAAGAGAGGGAAAAAAGAAGAAGACAGACGACCGGGTGCGTGAGTGGTGTTGTTTCGATTTGCGGATTGGACTTTTGGGAGCAAACGGATCATTTGCCCAGCATCGCTTCAGGCCATGCCCGTTCGCCAATATCCATTTCCCATACTCTGAACCACCTGGCACCTAGGATTCAGCAAAAAGTTGAGAGCTTCTCCCGTGCGACAATCCAACCAAGACCTGATGCAGCATGACATCAAACGCCTCGCAGAGTCAGCTGGGACTGAGACCCGTAGTGGCGCGTGGGATAGTCGGCCTTCCTTTCCGCTTCATCAACATCAATGCCCCTACACTCGCTGAGTCATCTAGATCTCCGTCAAGCGCTCTTCTACCTAGGTGGGCGTTGACACCTAATCCCATTATCGATCCCATTCTCTTTGACTCGACCAAAAAAAGCATCTTCTAATACCTGAAAAGTAGTGGTTGCGCAAACTTGTCCTAGCACAAAGTTGGCGTTACCAGCTCACTGGAATGCGCCCCCGGCCATCCTTTCATCGCTAGCAGCTTCGCGTGCCGCCCTACCGCTACCGCCTAGGTTAGCCCTGCGACGAAAATAGAAACCCCAACACTTAAAGTCCCTGTCGTCCACGGGCGGGGGGTCACAGATGATGGAGGAGGCCGCCCCGCCGCTCCCGAAGGGTCCGGGTCTGTGCGTGTTCCTTACTTTCTCGCTCATGCTCTGGATGAGGCAGGCTGAACATTCCAGTACGGAGACGCGTCGCGTTTCGGGCGCGCGGTGACCGGGCATTCCAGCTACGGGCTGCAATTGAAGTGAGGGGTTAAGACGTAGGTAGACAAGCGTGACAAGGAAGCGTTGAGTCGAGTGTGATCTGTTCAGCTGATGCGCCAGGGCTGTGTCGATCAATGGACACAAATGTCGTTTCCGCCTTGAAGACCAGGTACTCCAATTTGACATGAAGATCCGTTGCTGTCCCTTCAGCACGTGTCGTCGCAGCCCATATTCTGGACCCAGACTCGGTAGGTCGTCAATGAGAATGTTCAAGGCCTGTGAGATGGATGCGAAGACTGTCCAAATCCCAAATCATTCATTCATTGACTACATCCAACTTGCAACTTAGAACAACAACGTCCGCCAACTTTTGCAGTCACAACTCCAACCTCCGACAACGCCTGTACCAACAAGAGTACCACGTTCCACCAACATTGCTTATAAAGTCCTGCCGTTCATTACGGGACAGCCGTCTTGTTTCTTCCTCACGATCATGCTGCAATGCTTCTTCCTCAGAGCTCCTCGTAGACCTCGGTCTGGTTGACCATGGCGCTGAGGGGGCCACGCTTGACCATGATACTCATGATCTCGTAGAGCGCATCAGCGGCGGCCATGGTAGTGTGCTCGGCGTTCGTATCGTAAGCAGGCTATGTCAAATGAATTAGCTTTCTGTCATCCCGTCTCCTGCAACAGCAGCATCCACGAGAAGAACTTACAGCAACCTCCACGATATCAGCAGCAATCAGGTTCAGGTCCTCCAGTCCACGGAGGATGGTGCGGAGCTCGCGGGTGGACCAGCCGCCCGTCTCAGGCGTACCGGTAGCGGGAGCGACTACATGCCACAGTTAGCAGATATTCCTCTGGGTATGTCAAACATTTGATCACTTACAAGCAGGATCAAGGGTATCGATATCCAAAGAGAGGTAGACGGGGTTCTTAGTGCCGACACGCTCAATGATCTTCTTGATGATGCCATCCGTGCCGATCTTGTCAATCTCGCGAGCCTCAACGATCTCAAAGCCGCAGTATCCATCGTTCTCGTAGTCACTGGGTCCGCTGAGCGTCGTGCGGATACCAGCGTGGATGTTGGAGTCGTTGCGCAGCAGACCCTCCTGGGCGGCATGGTAGAAGTACGTGCCGTGGTTGATGCTAGCGACCTCTGAAGGAGAACCGCCAAAGACCTTGGGGCGCCCTGTACAACGTAAGTCTTGCTACACGCGCCAGTATAGATCAACCAACTTACAGGTATCGAGATGGCTGTCGAAGTGGATGACAGACACGGGACCGTAGGCACGGTTGATAGAGCGCAGCAGGGGTAGGGTGATGGTGTGGTCACCACCCAGAGTGATGACACGCGGTAGGGTGCGCTCGTTTTTCGCAGGCCCCTTCTTCGCCGCATCTGTAGCAGGCTGGCGAGACAGGATCTCAAAGTGTCCCTCTTCGATCTGGTGCAGAGCCCACGTGTTATCGTACCTTATGTCGAGTTAGCAAACGGCCGAGTAAGGTGCGTGCTGGCTTCTTACGATGTGACCGGAATGTCTCCGCAGTCTAGGACGGTGGCCCAACTGTTGAACGGGTTGGTGGCCAATGGCACATTGTAACCTCCGCTGCGTGGTGTAAGTATTCGTCCTCGCTCGCAATTAGCAGCTCCGAGTAGACATGTGCTTACTAGAGGTTCAGACGGCGCGAACCCTGGCGAATTCCTGACGGGCCAAAGCGAGCACCAGGGCGGTACGAAGTACCAGTGTCAAAGGGGGCACCTGTGTCGTGTAAGTGCCGTCCATAGTCAATTGCTCTACGCCTCTACTCACCAATGAAAGCGATGTCGTACTTGACGTTCTTCGCGCCGAGACACGGCTGGTACGGCAGGCGACCAAAGGTAGAAATGCCAGAAAACACAGAGTCGGCCTATGATGTGTAAGAGAGTGCTCCCGAGCTACCTGAATAGCGTTCCTACCTGAGTGCCACCATCACCCGGAATCGTGTTATACCAGAGAGACTGGTGAGGTCCGGACATTGACTTCTGAGGGTCGTCATGGTCGCCGTGACCATAGATGGTTGCCGCAAGGCAGAGTGCGAGGATGCTTCGAGAGACCATGATGCTGACAGTCGACTATACGGTGATTTCAGATTGCAGCTGCTGCTCAGGGCAAAGTCCAAAGTCCGTCAAGGGGAATGGCCTCGACTTTATGGATCTCGGCGAGCTGCAAGATCCAGGTCTATGTCAGAAGCAGATTGGCCGAAGTTCGACAGCTCTTCTCCACGCATGATGTTTTATGGTGGGCATCAGGTATGGCCCCTGGACCGGCTCGCAAGCTTATCGTCGACGTATTAGCCACACCACAAGAGCTCCCTGAGACGCTCACTGGTCAATGGATAACCATCAGACGCAATGTCGGTCAAAACGATTAACGTGTTCGCGTTAGGTAAAGACCAGGGCCGCGGCAGACGTTGCTGGCAGTGCGGGGCAAGAGATAAAGCTCCCTCCCCCTTCTTCAATGTCATGATGCTTGCAAGATCAGCGCAGATGCTTGGTTCAAGCTGCGATTGGCTTCGAGTACCCGGCCTCTGTACTCCGGACGGAGAACCCTCAGATCAAGCGGTGCTGCAAGCAGTGGCAGGGTTCTACCTAGTATAGTACCCAGGCGCCGTCGGCGAAGCTATTGCCGTGGGGAGGACGGTCCAAGTGTCTATTCCTAGGTTGTTAGGTCCTGGGACAGACGGTTTGGATGCTGTGAGTAAGGCGGGGTCAAGTTGGAGTGTTGTCGGTATTATGATGCAAACTCTGAACGAGATAAGCCAGAATGGGTTCCCCAGATGCACCTTCTGCAGGGCCATCGGCTGGGTCTTGAAGAACAAGTCCGTAGCGTTGACAGCACCAACCCGGTTCCGCGGGGAAGCGGCCGTTGAGCTGGTGCGAGTAGAGTCACCTCGACCAATGGGATGGCTCTGAACAACATTAGCTCATGAGTCGTTGTATGCGAAGAAGCCTTCTCCGATCTCCAACAGAGTCCTGGTTCTTTAGAAATGCATTGGTGAAGAAGGGTTCCTCAGATGGGAGTCCTCGTCGATGACGTGGGGCAAGCCGCAGCTCCCACGCGGGGCTGATAAGATAAAGCTACGACACGCTAACACATGCAAGCTGTGCTAGGCGCTTACCCGAATAGGAAAACCAGCAGTAACGGCCACCTCGGTGCACTTGCAACCCGTCATGCACACTTTGCAGGCTGCTCGCCTGGAGAGAAATCGACAGCGGTGATGAGATGCGACATGGTGCAAGACCGGTTCCGGAGAGCAGATAAGCAGAGCGCGCCACTTGCCCGGAAGTCGGCTTCATCGGCGGCCTGTCACCGTATGCTGTCCCTTTGAGATCGATAAGGATTATTTGGTAGCTCACCTCACGCAAGGGCATCAACGACCAGGGCCATATCTGTACTTAAAACCCATGAGTTTCTTCTCCAAGCTGAGGTGATCAGCCTGCGTGTTCAACCCATCCATGAATCTCAACGAAGGTTTGAGTCTTGCCCCGGCCCATCCGCACGTGCCGAGGTGCCGGATCCGTCATGGCCTCGCCGCTCATTGAAAGTCCTGTCGTGAGTTTGTTGACCCACAACGGGCCGACTCTTGACTAGCCAGCCCGGGTGTTCACGGCGGAGCCCGGGGGTGCTCCACCCCGGCACCATCCCGCGGCCGTTGAGCTTTCTCCGGCTGGAACATGCCGACCCGGCACCCCTTTGGCTGACAAAGAAAGCGAACAGTTCGGAAGTGTTACTGTTGAAGCGGGACATCAGCCCGACTCGGAAAACCTCGACCACTGAAGACAACACTCTCAGCGTGGAAGCTTGTAGGAATGGCACTCACCAAATCCAGTCTCATTTTCCAGGAGCACCTTTCCAGTGTAGCGGCAATTGTCTTTTTACTGGTCTTTTCTTCTCATACCTCGGCGGGGCGAGCCGGTATCTGTGTGCCGCTGGTCTGCAAGAATGGCGGTGCTGCCTATCGCAACTTTTCAAGTCAGTCTCCTGTCCCTGTGCATCCTTTGCAGTGGCTCTGTTTCCGAATCTGCACCTTGTCTCATGCAGCAAGCCGTGGCAGATCGCTGATTCGCTTCGGGGCTTGTTGGAAGTCATGCAGGTGTGGAAGAGGACGCCAAGTTGC